TGGAATTCATGAAATATATAACATCCAATAAAAACCAAAATAGGTCTTTCGTTGAACGCCAGTTGTGGTCCCGGCACCGGTATTCCAGTATTCTGTTATCACAAGCAGTTGGAGCACATATCCCACAGAGCACGGCGCGTTGGCAGAATCTCATGGTCTAGTGAGAATGACGTCATCGGAAATACCGCGCTCATTAAAATTTCAATGAACGATTATTAAAAATCTTGACCATGTTTATCATAATAAAAATATCAAAAAAGATGTAAAAAATATTCTATCCTCAAAACTGCTCACGTATACAACGAAAGATATCTAGAAAATGACATAAAATGCGAATTTCTGCTCTGGTGATCACAATCCCCATAAGAGGTAATGTTGAAAAAAAAATTTTTACATCACTTTTCTTTTTGCGCGTAGGATGGGTTTTTAATGAATAAGGTCTGTTGGGCACCTGTAAATGGGGTATGTGTTTCAAACTATCTTTATGATTCATCGCATGAAACAATCTGTTTTTTAAAAGTTCCGTTATAGCATTTTAGCCTAGTCAACACAGCTATTTCTACATTAATTTTTTATTACTGCAATGAACCTTTCCCGATCTTTGACCCCCGAAAAATTCTTTCTATGCTTTACCATCGCAAAATTTTCGGGGCTATTTTAAGAGTGCTTTTGCGAGTTGGCGCCTGTGAAATGGGGTATGTGTTTCAAATCATCATTAAGATTCATTGCATACAACAATCTGTTTTTTAAATGTACCGGTAAAGAATTTTAGCCTAGTCTATCACAATTATTTCTACACTAATTTATATGACTGCAATTAAATTAAAACTCCTAGCAAGACAGGGTGACCATTGAATTATCTGATTTACATTTAAGTTTCCGAAACACAACTGAAAACTAACGAAAAGAGTTTAAAAATGCGAAAACGAGGTAATGTTTACGACCACGCTTGAAAATCTGTCTGAGTGAGAAAAGTGTCTGAGCGGAAGCTAAAAGGGAGCATTGTTACGTCACTTTTTGCATCTTGCTGACTGGCCAATGTCACGAAGTAAACAAGGGGGTCGATGCTCGGGGAAAGGTCCATTGCGATTTGTGCTAAGTAGATTTAATTTACCATGCTTTAGTATTTTTTTTTTTGCATTCATGCTCCAAAGATTCAACATTTAACAAGTTTCTTTAATTATTATAAAATTATTTAGAGGCTTGGAGTTTGTGAAAATAACGCTGCACGATCATCACTCTTTGACGTTCAGCGCGCACAGTTGCTCTTGGGGTCATTCGTGTTTTACAAGCTTCTGTTGCATCTATTTTTATTTTTTAGTTCAAGACAATTTTCATATTACGGTGTCCCGGAATGGTTTAACACTACTGTACAGTGCTGAAATTGTGGCAAGATGACACCGATCTAAGTTCAGAAGTTGGCAACCCGGCGGTACCTGTATCCGGTTTCAACCTGTTCGCATTTCTGCATTTACCAGTCAGTACCTGTAATACTGTAATGTCAGAAAATGCTGATATGCATATCTTTTTCTTTATTATTAGTAATAGCCTTATAAGTTAGCTGCAGTAATATATCTGAGTTCAACAGTTATGACAGTATGGCCAACAGCAGAGAAGATGAATTTCATTCCATATTGGACAGAAAAGTTAAAGAAAAAATAAAGTCAATTGGAAAGAAAAACCCCACATATTTCAGTGAATATTTGAATGCTCAAGAACTTTTGAAATATTTCGATGGTTGCATCACTCCTATGCAAATTGAAAGAATTGAACGAGTTCATGATAGAGACGGCAATGTCTTGGCAGTTCACAAGCTCATGGATGAAGTTATAAAATATTCAAAGTTTTCTCTCCGTTTATTAAAGTCTTTGGTAGAAACCAATCATGAAGATGTTGCTAAAAAGATAATGGAAGGTATTGATTTAGGTATATTTCCAGAGTGCCAACATTCTGGCTTTATACAAAGTTTGAATTTGCAACAACCACAGATATTGCAACAACCACCGGCATATGAGGAATCACAAGAAAGCATGTTATTAAGTGTAATATTGTCAGATCAAATGCAAAAAGAAAATATATATCAAAATTCACGTTCAATAAATACCATTAACTCGTCAATAGAACCTTCAATGTTGTCGTCCCCGAGCACAGTAACATCTGTATCTGACAATTTAACAATGAATATTCCATTGAGCATTGGTACAAGAGATGATAATTTGTCATCAAGTCGTAGTGAACAGAACAACCCTTCATTGGATTATTCTCAAAATCCGTATCCTCTGGTAAATCCTAATGGAAATGCTACAAGACAGGATATGAGAAGACTTCAACAAGGAATAGGGGATTTACCATTGAATAACGATGTGTCGCAAAGATCTCAGTCTGCTACAATACGAGAGCATACTGAACGTTATGCCTCTGGTGACAATATTAGTAATGCAGAAAATAATGATGAAGAGAAAGAACAATCCGTCGAATCTCACAGAACTGGAACAAGCAGTGACACTACAGCTCGTTTTGATTCAAATTTTTCAACTTTACAACAGTCGGAATTGTATGACAGGGATGCAGCTTCTAATACAAAACCGAAAAAACTTTTAAATCCACATAATAATCTGTCATTACTACGCGGTGATTCACCACTGAGATATTCAGAGTTGTGTATTTCAAATAGTGATAGTGATACGGAAGCTTCTACAGATTTTTCAACTTTACCACAGTCAGAATCAAATGACAGTGATGGGGATTCTAATACAAAACCAAAAGAACCTTTTATTCCAATGAATAATATATTATTACCTCATGGTAATTCACCACTGAGTTATTCGGAATTGTGTATTTCAAATAGTGATAGTGATACAGAAACTCACACTAGGCCAAAGGATCTTTATGTTGCCAAAACGTTAACTGATAATATCTCGGAAAAAATGCATGGAACCCCTGTGGAACCTAAAAATGAAGAATCTCAAAATTCTTCTCCACCTTTGGAAATTTCAAACACAGCCGTAAGCAACTCAGAAGAATTGAGTCAATTACATGCTCATTCAACAGATTCAAGTTACCATGGAAATTCAACTGCTTTTGCAGATTCAAATGCTATAACTATTCAAGAAGTAGTTTCCACTATCTCAGAGAGACCAGAAGTAGAAAACAGGGCGATGAGATGTGATTCCACCCGTCCTGAGAGAAATTCTGATGGAGATTTATCCAATAGAAACTGGACAATTGGTGTTGCTATATTAGCTGGAATTATAATTGGTCGTGTAATCAAGTATTGAAAGCTTTGTTCTTCATGACCAATATATAGCTCTCTTTTCCTATATTCAAACAAACTTTTTTGATTGCTGAAAATCCCTATCTGAAATTTGATCGTATCGTATCAACCTACCTATTTTAAAACCTGTCTGGTATAATTCCTTACAGCTACAAGGCGCTTTGCAAAGTTTCATGTTTTGTTATCATTGTTCAAAAGTTCTAATCTTTGAGTGGCCAAGAACTATAGGTACAATCAAAATCAACAAATTCCACCCAAATCCCAAAAGATCATTTATCTTCTATGCAATTAGCGTCGTATTTTAAATCCACAGTAGTTCATGAAATTTGTGCATATCTGACATTTGTCTTATTCTATATACTGTATTTTTGTTACATAGATGCTATTGAGAAGCTCCCGAATTGATTATACAAATGTCTATAGTGAAATGAATATTTCTGTATTTTGTTCCAAACATCCCTAAGTTTTAAGTATTAATGCTATTCTTTTTACAATAAAACATTAAATGTTCTATTTCATTTTTGTGAAAAAAAAACCCATTAGTTTGTCTAAATTCAGGTTTTTCACTCCTGAAGTATGTGAACCAAGACCTGGCACACATACTAAGTTCCGGTGTCCACCATCCTGGTTCACATACTTCGGGAGTAGACTACCTACCGGTAATTTAATATATAGTATGTTCTGGCATTGTTTTTGGTATTGTATGTCATTTTATCAAACTTTGTCTTATTTATCATATTGTCTTCAAATCTTATTGTAACCTGTATTTTTATTGGTATTCTTCACCTATCACTTCTTAATTTAAATTTCTTTTTGCCAATATTTGTATAGGGCTCCCTATCTACAGGCTTCACAGGTTTTTTTCGTTTGATACTCGTTTAGATTGACTATGCGGCACAGACAAGTTTGTGAGTTATCAATCAAAATTGTATACTATTCCCGTCCTCAACTGAAAAATACAATTAGTGTGAATAAACGAATTCTAAATTGTTCAGTCTTTGAGTGAAATAATTTCGATAAAAATTTTATGCAAATTCTTCCATTTTGTATGTGTTCTAGTTTATTTTTTCATGTTGAATATTTTTCCGAAAAGTTCATATTGTAGGTATCCTTTTTACTTGATTTTATCATCTTAAATAGTCATTGTTCCAAATTTCTGTAATATTCTTACATTTCAACCCACTAATATCCTTTTATATGAGCATTTTTTCCATTTTGTATGGTCATTTTAAAAAATTTTTTACTCCCGTCCGTTAGGTGCTTGAACTTCACTTATGGGTTTTTACAAACGTTTTCTTGAGTTATTATCAGAGAGAGGATGTTAAAGAGCAATTTCAAACGGAAATTCCATGTTTGCGTCCTGATGGCCGAAAACTTGTAAATTCAAATTATAAATCTTTGTGAATGTGTGGTAGAGGGTTAAGTTCTAATCTAATTATCTTCAGTCGTAATGTTTTCTTGTACAATTTTTTTCATGCAAAATGATACCATTGTTATAGGCCTACCTAAATTCCTTGACAAGAAATTGAAGTCTATTGGGTGTGGCCCAGAGAGTACCGCTTCGTGCCTCCCTAGTGGCCAGGCTCCGAAACCCTGACTCAAAGTGTTCTATTATATTGAATAGGGCTACACAGTAGCACCTAGATGCAATTATCTTAGCTTTGTAAAAGTTTGCTTTTTTAATTGTTTTTCTTTAGATATTTCATGCCAAAAATAGATATTATATCTCAGATGGATAAATTAGTAGGCCTGTTTGATTTATAAGTTTGATAATAGATAACATATTACACATTTATCCTGTCAAAAATGCCTCTTCACCCATTTCAGTGGACAGATTTTCTTACGTGTGCAAATTGCAATAAGGTAATGTAGAAATCATAATATATGGATCAACTTTTAAATTCCAAGTCCTTCCATATGTGTGCTATCAGAAAATATTTGAAGGATAAAAAAAAATCTTGAAAGTATGGCCACATTCCACCATGTGAAGAGAGAAAGTACTAGTTATATTATATGTATGACATACTTGTGTTATTTCACTCAATTTTGAACAATTTAATTGAAAAATTATAAAGAAAAAGCTGGCCTTTCGATCAAAGTTCAAAGCCATATTCAACAAGGTATTTCAATAAAATGTTAGCCATGTTAAATTCAAAATATATGTTTTCATCATTTTTCGGATTTTCGTCCAGTTGGATTGAATTCGTTGTTCTGTTTACCTGTCATATTTTAAATATCCTATATAATTCTGTGTGTTGTTTTATTTTTTTACCAGGAATTTTCTATTGAACCGAAACGTTTCCCCATAACATTGCTGTGCAGTCATTCAATATGCCAAGAATGTGTTGGTCAGGTACAAGTTAAAGGTTGTCCTCAGGAATTGAATTCATCACCCCCTGACCTTTCAACTCTTGGAGTGAACTTTGCCCTTCTTCAACTTGTGATCTATCAGAATAATTTGGGTCGAAGTGCTAGTTATAGACCCAAAGATCCAGAAAAGGTTTGTGGTATTTGTATTTAGCTTAACTAAATCAAAGAATAACAAAATTATGGTATGCAATTTCAAGTTAATCTTAGTAATTTAAAAAACCTCTAAAACGAAAGTCCATGATATATTTTTGTTAGTAAACAACGAAAAAGGGAATGGAATAATGGTTCATCATGTGTCCTTGCCAACATTTAATTGGTTATTATATATTATAATAATAAATTATATCGAATATATATATATCGGTTATTATATAATCGTCTTCGGCGAGATGCTGTTAATTAGGGAGGAAAGACGAAAATGAATATTCCTATATGAAAAGCGTTTGTTTTGAGAGGCCGGCGACAGATTAAAAATGTTTTTTTGCACATTGTAATTTGCAAAATTGTTTACACTCACCATCATCGTTGCATTTCAAAACTATGTCGTTAATAATGCTGGCAATTTTCACATGGCAAACTTATTTAAACTTCTATCTATAACCTATTCTTGCTTTCACTGAATCGGTAGTAAAAAAATTCAATTTTACTGTGTAATGAGGAATCTTTGTTGATTATATTCCTAAACAATTCTGAATATCTTTGTAATCAAAAACATATGTAGAGAGGATTTACTTATTAGTCAAAGATCTTTCCATATTTGTATGAATTCTGAGTGAATGCATTTTTCAGCTTTTATCAAAACTTGGTGCAGACTATTCAAGCTATACAAAATGTTGCCACCTGGTAGAAGGTCTTGCCATACATCTGCAAGATATAAAAAATGGGATTCTACCAAATGAAAGTGACTTAACGAAACCAATGCTGAGAAAATTGGTATGTTGCCTATATTTGTGCACTTTATTATTTTTTTTCATCATTGATACATAATTTCTGTTTTTTGCTGTCTGGTCTTACTGTCTCTCACTACAGGAGTTAAAAGCATATTATGCAGGATATCCAATATTATATGTTTCTTTTTGTTCACTAAACTTTACAAAAGAAACTAGGACTTTAATATCGTACTGCTACTGTATAGTTAGCTTTAGAATCTTGGAGTCTTTCTGTTTTATTTATTTAGCAATTGCTATAAGGAGGTATGATTATGGCAATTCATAATCATTCACAGACTCATTTACTTTTTTGAAAATAATTAAACATATGTTATAGTGCTCTATTCCTGATAGTGCTGATTCTGTATATTTTGAAAATCCAGTATGGAAAATAAAAGTTTCACAATTGCATTGTTGAATTACATATAGAGACACAAGCCCTTAGATAGTCTATACTTCTTGCTTCAAATGCTCCATCCTGTCCAGGGATGCCCAATTCAAATTCAATATTCGAATATCATAACGCCCGAATAGTGTTTATTAGAATAACGACTATTGCGCACCAATTTTTCCACGGTCGATTTGAATCAGTGCCAACTTGAAGTACAGTACATGGATTTTACAGAAATGAATGAAATTCATGTTTCTGGGATTTATGAATGTTTTTGGAAATTCCAGAATCAAAAAGATTTTTTAAAATGTATTTAGGATAGTCAAATAGTCTGTTATGGCCATCCCTGCTTCCATATCATCACCCAAGGTATAGTAAATTTGGTAGGTAATACTGAACAGGAAACATTTTGTTTCTTCCCGAAATATACCCATTACATATCAGTGTATGCTTGTATAGGGCATTGTTCAGAGCAAAATGCATGAATAAGCATCAAATGAATTCAATATCGTTTAATTTCCGAATACTTCTTCATGCTAGCAGAAATTTAAAATGACTTGGCATATTATAAATATAGATTTGACCAACAGGTAGCCATTTTTAAATTAAAATTTATCATAGTTGTAATATTTTTAATAATATTGTAATATTTTTAATAATATTGTAATATTTTTAAAAATATTACAGGTTACACTTGTACAATCTCAACTTGCATTGGAAGAAGGAAGATTAAAAATGTTGAGATCTTGTCGTGCAATTGGGGAACGAGCATCAACTGAACTAATTCTTGCTCATCAGAATCCAGCTACGTTATCGGGAAATTTATGGACGGCAGTAAGAGCAAGGGGATGCCAGTTTCTAGGTAAGTAGGATTTGTATAATGTCAGTCTGGTATTTGAAGGTAGTTCAAATCTATCCATCTCATTCAATTCAAATCTTTTTGGTTGGACCGGATAAAAAAATGTTTTTTTTTATAACAGGGGAGAGTTGAGCTGTTAGGTTCAATTACTATTATTCCATGTTGGTTATAGGGATAGCGGACCAGGTATTTGTTTCAGATAAATAATCTTGATGATGAGTCCAGAAATTCTTTTGTATTAGGCCTATTCAACTTTCAGGTTGTTAATAAAATGTGGTAGAAAATTGTACTTTTTATTTAATTTCTTGTCATCATTGCATGAGTTTGAATGATTTTATTATAGATTTCATTTCTTTAGCAGGAAAAACACAGAATTCTCAGAGTGTGGCTTTGTACTTGTAGCCTTTTTTTATGTGAGGAAACATCGGTATCGGCTTATCGGCCAAGTTTTAGAAACCATCGGTATATTTTTAAAAAGGCAGTATCGGTCGGGCTCTAATCTTAATAACCACGCCACATAGTTAGCTCAAGCGTACTAACCTTTATTAAGCGCCATCATTCTGATGTACTGATATCTTGATTCTTGACTAACATTGCCTACTTCTCCCTACTAGGGCCTGCAATGCAAGAGGAAGCTTTAAAACTGATACTTCTAGCATTAGAAGATGGATCAGAATTATCTAGAAAAGTTCTTGTTATGTTTGTTGTTCAAAAATTACAGCAACAATTCTCTCAAGCATCCAAAACAAGTATTGGACATGTCGTACAGTTGCTCTACAGAGCTTCTTGTTTTGTGGTGAGATTTTAATAACCTTGATTACTTTGTTTTCTTCTATTTGGGTCATTTTAATATGAATGATAGAATATTAGTAATTTCTGAGTGAGTGCATGAGAACTTGCTTAGAGCAAATTTACCCCAAATAAATATGTAGCTACAAATAACAGATAGTAAGGCAAAAGTAGGTTTTATTCAAAAAACACATTGAAAATACATTGATGGAACATAAATAATAAAATAAAGGAAAAGTTTTGAAATGTAAATATCCAAAATAAGATCAAATGTAACAAATATTTTTATTTTTAATTGACTTCACGCCCCCTCAAAAATTGTCTACGCCTCCCCACTGTTTGAGAGCCACTGGTCCAAGCTGAATAATCCACTATTTCGAATACACTGTGAAATAGTATTTTTGAATATGTATTGTTAATTACTTATAATAAATAGAATGATGTTTAATAAATAACACATCAATATGTATTCATTGAGATTGAGTTTTGGAGTGCAAGGGAGTTGAAGCAAATAATTTATATCTTTTTAATTTTACATATTTTTTTCAATATTTTCAACTATTCCAATTTTTTTTAAATTTTAGAATTTAAAATGTTAGAAAAAATGAATTTCCAAATTAATTTCAATATCCGATTCCCTTAGTAATCAATTTTCCGAAAACGCGATTTTTTAGTTTGTTTTATTTTGGGGTTTCTACTACTTGTCTTGTTTTTACACTTTAGTAAAGATTTATTTTCTATGCTGCAGGTGAAAAAGAGAGATGGGGATTCCTCACTAATGAAATTAAAAGAAATTTATCGAACTTATCCTGCGCTAAGAAGAGAACATGATGCACAGGTCAGATTGTCTTCTATTGTTAAAAAATTTAATAAGCAGTAAACCTGTAGTAGCAGTAGACTGACGTAACCTTACTGTCTATTCTATAGGCTTTCGAAAATATTGATTGATATGCCATTTAAAAATTCAGGTTATGTTTTTCGTCACCAATTTGAGTGTCTGAAAATTTGCAATGTGATAAACTACATTTGTTCACTTTTATCTTATTAAAAGCAATAACACATTACCACGTTTTTTAAACTTGACATCTTTTTATTATGTCGGCAGTTTCCAGATCAACATTTTCGTTATTTGATGTTTAAAAATATAAAAATTGCGCTTTTGTAACGCTGTCAACAGTTGATGTTCAGTGAAAAATTAGCTGTAATTTGAAAATGCGATTGCCAGAGTAAGCAAACTAAAATTGGTATATCTATGCTATCCATGCATATTCTAAGGTTCCTGTCACCAAATACCAAATGGTAGCAAGCAATCAACTTACAGAACTATAAATTTAAATACATTCTTCGCTTTATATACAGAGTTGGCCAAAAATACGAACAGTTAATAATAACCCTGTACATGAGATATTTCGTACACCTGCATACCATTTGGTTTATATAGGTTACTCATCTGTGATAGAAGAATCAATATTGTGTGTAAATCTGCTCTGTTTACTCTTGGACTTACGGAATGTTTTGGAATCCCCTTTACCTCAAATATCAAATTTATTGATCATTGATTTAATATCTATTTATGACATATGAAAAATGACAATGTATGGAAAAATAATGAATAAACATGCTATGATTAATATAAGGAGTAAACATAATAGTGACAACAATTTTCTCTATTTTTCTCCTTTTTTAGGTTGTTCAAATAGCGAGAGAAGCTGGTCTTCGAATTGCCCCCGATCAATGGAGTGCATTATTATATGGAGATCAAGGACATAAATCACACATGCAGTCTGTAATAGATAGATTACAAAGTGGAGAATCCTTACAACGATGCATTCAGGTGAATTAAATTACTACTTTACTGTATATTTGGATTACCATACGAGTACAATGGTCTATTGTACCTATGTTGGCATTGCAGCTTCAACATGTTGAAATCCCATGCCAGGGTGTAATAAATTTGGTAGGCAATGCAGAACTGGAAAATTCCCAGACCTTTAAGAATAGTATCTCCTTACATATCGATAGATATTACTGGGCCATCACCATTATCTTCTGATTTCTCAGGAGCATTGTCTCCTAAAGTGAGGTTTTAAGCATGCACTCAGAAGTAAAGGAGACTTATTTTTAAGCAAAGTTACAGGTTATACAGCTATATTAAAACTATATAAATTTATGGTGGTGTATTACGCACCAGCAAATACAGCTTGACACAAAACTTGGGGGCTGTTCAGTTCAAGCCAATCCAGAATTTCCAGTCGGGAAATATCTATATCTAAAAAACTTTTGCCATTGTCTGGTCAGAGGTTACACAGACATACAGCCGACCGAGTACGAAGGCCAAAAAATCTTCCAGGAGATTACGAAAATATTGAAGAACACAAGCCATTACAATAAATATAAAATTTGAGCTCACTTGCAGTTTGGTTACCCATGTTAGTCATTTCACCACAATTTTTTGTGTGGTGAAGTGAACTCTCCTGCCTCTTTGTATTTTAAAATTAAAATTCCATGCATTTTGTGTTTGCCTAGTGGTTAGAACAGTGGCTTTAACCGGGATTCCGCCAGTATGGGTTGCAAAGTTCACATTCAAAATGTATTTAAATTGTTTTAATATGATCATATACCTATTCCTCATTCTATATTTGATCATTTGTATACATAACCCTTGCTTGCTAAAATTCAGTATTCTGTTGAGAAAACTGTAAAATCATATTGAAACAAACCGTAATACACTAGTTGCAACATTAAACTGTTTAATAATGATCATTTTCTTTTCTTTTTCAGGATTTAGATAATGCAATCAAGTCGAGTGATTCTACAAATTTAAAGAGTCTGATACCGCATTTTGAAATATTGGCAAAAATATCTGCGGAAAGTACGCTGTCTCCACAAGACCTTCATAATAACGATTGGAATTTTCTCATCAGTTGCTTGCAGTCTGTTAATTTCATTATAAAGGTCAGTTTTATTTACCATCATGTCTGCAAACTAAAAAGATGTCCTGCACCCTACTAGTGCAGTGATAGAGAGTATTTTTAATGTATGGGCCAAAATTTTATTTTTTATTATGGATGAGAACACTGTGGGTCATAGTAGATTTATTCCATGCAATCATCAATAAGAAACTCACTGTTGCATTTTTCTGCAATCCTATAATTCTTCGTTGATATTGTGTAGTTATAAGCATTACACATGCAGCAATCATATAAGGATAGGGTCAATTCATGCTCTTTCTGCAGGGAACATGTGCGAAAACATCGATTCCCATGCATATGAATTACCAAAAACATTTATAATGCTGCCAGAAATATTTTCATGGTTTTCAAAAGGAATTCCACTATGAGATCTTTGATACGATTATATTTTTTCGATTATCTTTCAACTGCATTCAAGGCACTACCACTCAGCTCTTTTGGTATTTCAGATTTCTGTTTATTGAGTTTTTTTACCGAATAGCATTGAAGACGGGAAAATAATGAAATAATAACGCTAAGTACCATCTAGTTCACAAAAATATTTCGTATCACAAAATCTGACTCATTTACTGTTTCAGGAATTGATCATATTTTCAAAGAGTCATAAACCACATGATTTATGGCATGATGAGGAATCGCCGAGTCAGACTGCCAAATTCAAAACATCATTCTGTAGAGATATCAAAAGTAAAGGGAGATGTCCAAGAGGTAGCTGAATAATAGTAATTCATTTGCATTAGAATACGATTCACACAGTACAATGTGGGTTATAGGACACATGTGGATGCGACAATCATACTAGTCCGAGAATGCTGTTTTTTGGGATTATCTCAAGAATCATAGGTGTTCTTATTTGCCATTCTCTTATTCGAACTGGAATACAAGATTCGTAGAATTTTGCGAACTTCAAATCAGTTTGTGAATCAATTCAAATATAATTATCAAAACAGTACTCCACCCAATAACTAAAAAAATGGTAAATTTTTAAAAAGATAAATTTTATTGAAATTAATTAATTTAACAAATTGAGCTCAACCCTAATAGATTTATATATTTTTAAAGGTTCTTCTTGCACATTTGCTCATTCTGAAGAAGAATTGCATCATCACCGTAACAAAAGAAAGAAGGCCAGTCTTGGATATCCAGGTAAATTATATATATAAAGCAGAGAATGGTGGTATTTTTCATTTGTAATTTCAACCCTCTACTTTTAGAGTAGTACATAACAATCCTAACATCACAGAGACATACCCGATAGTTAGAGTTATTACTTGATAGGTATTTGTCTGTCTGTCTGTTAAACACTTTCGTATGTTACGCGATATCTCACGGAAGCGAGGTTGAATCTGCTCCAAATTTTGCATGTGCATTTATCATATTTCGGACCAGAAGCCTATTGATTTTCGATGAATTAAGTCGTATAATTAGCGGGTTATTAATTAATTAATTTTATTTATTTGTGGAAGATCGATAAGTTGGCGGCCTCCGAGTTACATTGTTATTGTCAGTTTCTCAGATTTAATCAATATTTAAATTAAGTCGACTATGGTTAGCGTATTTTACAGACCAAAATGTGCACTTTTTTGCCTTAATAATCAATAGTTTCATTCGTTATTGCGTACACTTACAACCAGTACTGGAGTCGGTTGTGTCGTATAGCCTTAGGTATGTACAAAATCCCAATCTAAGCAATTTATTGATATTGCCTTGTAACCCGGTCCGGAAAATCGGTACATATTCGAATGTTGACTGAAGGGTCCCAAAACTTTCTGGTTTCCCCGTTGTTGAACTGACTTTCCTATAGTCAACTATTCATTAAAATACTAGCTCTCTAAATTATAATCATTGCGCATGAAAATGTAACAAATGCATGTAAATTTATATGCCTTGTATTTCACTTCTTAGCTAGAGACAAGAGGCAACCAAACGCTGCATCACCTGCTAGCAATGGTAAGTGATGAAGTTAGGTTTTCTGTTTTTCTCTTATTACTCAAATTGTATTTAATTCTTGTTGTAGACTTGTAGTCAATGCTTTTTTTATTTCTGAATAGTTGAACCATGGTGATTAAATAAGAAACTAAATACTACTCGATTAATTCTCAAGTTTATCTGTATTTTTCTACAGCTGATGTGCAACAACGGATTCTAGACGTTGATCATAGACAAGCAGGGTAAAAAATTATAGAATGGATTAGTTACGAAAGTTTTGAACAGTATCTTTATTTTCTATAGGGGGGCGGTTATATTTTACGAGTTATAACATAATCATTGTTATTGGACACGAAGTATACATATGGATCGTATTGTTATTATGTTGTTAGAATTCGTTTCTTGTTTTTATAAAAAAAATAGCTGGACCGATTGCTTTGAAATTTTCAGTGGTCAAAGATTGCATTTATCACAAGAAGCATATTACTTTCATGGGCTTTTTGTTTGCGACGATGTCATGAAATAAAAAATTGCGCACCTTGTGGCAGTTCGCGTTTGCATTCCCATTAGCAAGCTAATGGTCAGGTGAAGTCGGGAAGACTGCGGTACTGGTAGTCTACTGTGACTACTGTGACCCTTACTACTTCGTTTTGGCCTTCGTTTCCATATATTTGTGCATCACATTATAACTTAATATGCAAATTACAAACGTAATATGGCTAACTTTTTATACAAACTTGAAGAATTTTAAAAATTTTTTATATCACATTTTACATCCACACTACAAACAAGGCTCTTTACAAGCACGCCGTGGCTGGGGTGTGGGCATCACGTTTCAGCTCTCCAGCCTGCAAAGCCAAACATAGTCAAGTCTAACGCTCTAACTGCTAGACCACCACACCCACAAATATTATTTTATTTCATTCCTTAGAATTCGAGCCACTCCTCCTATTGCACCAGTACAACCAAGACAAGGAGAGCCTGTACCTGGAAATCATGTCTACTCGTATCCACAACAAAGTGGTTATCAACAACATTTACCTGTTCAACAGCCACCCATGATGCAACAGCGACCAATCTCTCCACAAATGCATGTCCCAATAGCTCCCCAGCACTTTCGACCGCCTCCATCGTATTATGGATATGATCCTTATCGTCAACAACAACACGCAGGGGTTGAAGGCAACTACAATCAGACTTATAATCAGTATTCATACGGACCTCCTCCCAACCAGCAGTATTCACATATACCAACAGGAAAGCCAATTCCGATTGAGAATTCCATGCCGCAACATTTACAACCACGAAACGAACAACCGCCTGTAAAATCCGGGAACATGTATGAACAGAATTTACCACACTTTACTGTTACTTTGTCGTTTCAATCGAAACCAAATGCCGACCCGATGTCAGCTAGTCAGCAAGTTGTGGTTGCGCAACAACAGCAAATGGGGAGACCGTCGTCTGTCAATGTCAGTCAATCCATGACAGAAAATATGACTTTGTCAAGGCCAGTCGACACATTTACTTCACAATCAATACCAAGTAGGCAACAAGACACAATGACTCGCACACAATTTATGAGACAAAGGGCAATGGCTACGCCAGGAATCATCAACAATCGCCTTGTTGATCCATCGCCACCGCCATATCCCATGCAAACTAACACTGTTCCGAAAAACATGGGTTCATCTGGGTTCTATCCGATACAGCCGCAGCATGCACCTACAAATGAACCGATAGATCGCTCACAGATGTATCGCGTACAAAGTCCTGTTTACCAATCTTCGCCCATGCAAGTTCGAGATCCTAGAGTTGCAGTGGTCGCACCACAACAGATTATTCAGCAACCCCCGCCTTCAGCTACCCCCACTCATATATATGATCCAGGAATGAACATGGTGTTTTCCAATAACTTTCAACAACAAGAAGTCATAGCTCAAACTGTGCCATGTCCAAGTCCATTCATGATGACACAGTCTCCTGTAAATCAGCCATCAAATACACCTGTGTTGATTCCTGTAGTTCCAGTCACACAATATCAAGTCATCGATCAACAAATGGTTCATGTTCCATCCCAGGTAATAAACTATTTATGGCATCGCTTAAAAATTATTTTTATAATATATTTGTAATGTTATTCATGGTACAATAATTGTATGGCAAATGGCTGTTATATGTTATAGAAATTTGAAAGAATATTCGTCTAATATACATTGAAAAATGAATGGATTTGCAATTGCCTCTTCCATGATAACTTTACAAATGTATTGTATGTGGGAAAACAATCTGAATGTAACTGGATATAGTGATGTTGAAAAGGATGTAATATTTGGAAGACTTTATTTTAGAGAATTATTGTAAAATTCGATATGAATATTTAAAAATATTCTCACTTAAGTTGATCTAATATGTTTGGTCACTCAATATCATCTAATTATTCAAATATACCTCCAGTCCTCTCTACCAGTTCCATTCAGATTATAATATGGTTGCATGTTGATAACTCTGAAATCATATTTTGCACAATATATATTCTGCTGTTATTGGGACTTGGGGGGTTAATTTCTTATGCAGAACAGTTGTGAATTTTGTTTACGTGAACAAATTTGGATATATTGTGCAGAATATGTTTAAATAGAGTTTTATGTGAACTTCTGCTTCTGGAAAAGAATATTGTGATAAATTCACTGGTTAATTGCTTCATATATGGTCATTAATAATGTGTCACATGGTGTGAAAGGTATGTGACTTTTAATGTGTCAAATAAATCAAGATTTTCGTTATATTTCCGCAATACCATGTGAATTTGTCATCAACATAATTTTCTACCATCATGGTTATGTGTCATAGCGAGTGTATGTATATGGTGCCTGTGTGTTTGTGTGTGTGTATGCGTTCATATATATCAATTTTGAAGACGATGTGACATCAACAATCAATGTGCAAGAGGCGCACACATACACACATATTGCAGAATTTCTTTTCCATATCCTGCAATTCAGATGATACCAGTGACGCTGCCTTATGTGCCCACAGTGGTTCATTTCGAAGATATAACGTATGCAAGAGAGGTGAGACTTTCAGACTTTGTCGTTAAGATTACGACAGGATTCATATAAAGAAGAAACTTAGAAATTACATTTTGATATCATTGTTCAGTTAAATGTGCTTGTCATTTTTGTTAGGTGTGCTTGAAGCAAGCGAGTTCAGGGAATATTGTAATGACTAATGATCGACGCTTCTATATGGTTATATTTCATTAAAATATCTTTTTTTTATCTTTTTTTTAAATAGTATCATAGCTGCTATATTTGGGGTATTCATTACCGCGCCTTGCCTGCTTTTTGCACACCTGTTTAATATATCTCTTTTTTATTGTTTTAATCACAATTTTATTGTTTATGAAAATGATTGCATTAAAGTTGAAATATAGTGAATTAAAATAATATCAACTTGATTGAAGAGGCCGATTTTATTAAAAAAAAAAAAAAAATCAGCCCTGCTTTAAAAATACTTTTTTATTTTGATACATTTATTGAGAAAATTCCTGAGTATTTTTATTCTTTGAAATGACAATATTGCAATTGTTCGAAAAGGTTTTTCTTCCCCAGAAAAGTTGATTAAATAAAATAGGCTTGGCCTTTTTTAGATGATTGTAACAATTATTATTGAGACAAAGTATGTTAGCATATCACCTGTTCATTATTTAGCATGCTAGACCCTTCGACACGTCGGATTTGAAATTTATCAAAATTTCTAACCTTAGTTTTGTATATTAAACCTTCAGTTTTTTGTTTGCCAATATATTTTACTGTTTTTGTTTTGTTAAAAAAGCTCATAACGTAACTAGTCAAGCTCTTAATTTTAATTGGTCTTGTTCATTTAGAAGCAAATATCTCTTTGTGATGACATCGCTTCTGAATTATCTATCCCGAAGTCCATTGACGATGCTACTGTTGCTCAGCTAGAAAGAAGAAAAGAACAAATTTTAGATAAATTACTCCACAATCAATCTCAACAAAAGGATGATGGTATTTTTATTGCCATTTTTTATATACAGCTAGCCAAATGTACCAGTAATTTTTTTTCAAAGTCATCAAGTTCTATTGGTATGTTGTTTACATTAGTCTTCATTGCTAAGGCTATTCTTAGGTGGAGACAATTTTATGGTAACGACTAACGAGGTTTGCCAGGTCCATGCATAGTTCAACTGACAACCAATATTAGCCTCTTTTTATCCATTGTGATTGCAGCCTTTGAAAACCCACCTGGTTGCAAGACATTTTTTGTAAATATGTATTCTAGGTTTTATGAAGATAATATTGTGGTGGATTTTGAGTTTCATATTTCAATCAATTCAAGTGTTTGTAACTCTGGTTTAGAATAGTTGTATCTCTTATTACTATCTCTGGCTCAGAATACACAAGGTCTGCCCTGTTGGTCTAATAATCTATGTTTGTTCTTTTTAGTTTGTCCACCACCGGATGTCATGCCTAGTACAGATGCAGAAAGGTTTTATGATGTTTGGAACTGCCAAAGTTATTCACCACTATTCAATTTACAGACTGCTGTTACAGTCTTGCCAGAAAACTTGCAATGTGAAGATTATTCATCTAATGTTGTTGATGTTATTGCTGAAATAGATACAAGAACTAAACAGGTGCGTATGTTTTAAATAAATTTGAATACATTTTATATTGAATTCAATTATTTAAAGCAGAGATGGGCAACTTCTAATGCAGGAGGGCCAGATACAAATAACTGGGTGAAACCACAGGCCGCACGGCGCCCGCACCTTTATTTAACATAGGATTTCTAGCGGTTGCACAAAAGTTTGGTTATTGATTTTATGACATGCCTTGTTCGTTTCGCACAAGCTAACTGTAAGGGCATTGGGAACATCCTAGGCATGGATAATAAATTGGACTCGGGTATAGACTTTACAACGCAAAGGGATTGGAATTACTCACACATACTAGATTAAATTAAAAACTCGTTTTGCGGGCTGCACCCCATTCAAAAGTTGCGCTTCTCCGCAGGCTGCACAAGTTTTTCTTGTGGGCCGCATTTGGACTGCGGAACGCGAGTTACACACCCCTGATTTGAAGTTTGAGGATTTGAATATGAGAAATTGTGAAAAAATTTGGAGTGTTTGAAGGTTGACCATCTTTATCTATTTTGTTTTTATCTCAAGATCTGTTGGATAATGTTTTGATTTGATCTGTTATCATTAAAAAGAAAGCAAATAGCATATTCATATGATTAACTTGCTCTCTGGCGCGTTTGAAACCAGTTGTATAGGATATTCGGCGCGGCAGTGTGGCTCATCGCGCTAAGCGTTAGGAATACGCTCGCCACCGCACCTCTGATTACTCTGCGTGGGTTCGCAGGTTCGAATCCCAGGCGGGGATAGTTATGTGCGAGAGGATTGCTGGACTCCTCGTCGCCGTAAGGTGATTCACGTAACCGCTGGTCGGTCACGGCTTTCTCCATCAAGTCCATGCTTCAGAAAACAAATAACTAACTAATCCCATACCCGACATGGAATGGTAACTGGACGAGAGGTCGTGGTTCGCCATATGGGGCTTTCCTTTCCCCCAGGATATATATGTAAATCCTATCCTATTGTACAACCCGAATGAGTATGCGAACCATTAACAAATAATATTTCTACTGTTCCACCTGCATTTTATAGACATTAATCAGTCCTTTTTGGTACTTTTCAGGTCACAATGCGGGGTACAGACATTATAAATCCATCTCATGCTCGTAATGAAAGAACATTGGATGACACAAAGATGCATAGACTTATGTTGGAAAAAAATGATGACATGAAGAATGCTGAATCTTCTTCGGAATCCAGTCAACCTTTGAAAGCTTTGATTTATTATTCAAGGTGGGCACAATATCTTAATCCTATTTTATCACAACCCAATTTACCTTGGAACTTTTGAATTAACATTAGGAAATAAAATTCTATGCTTATTAGGATAGATTTTATTATTTGTTTTAGGTTTCGGAAAATATAAATGTTGAAAGATAATTAGATGGTTAGGAGCTGAAGCCACTAAAATTTCTGGTAGATCCGGCTCCATCTAATATGGTAAGCTTGGCTTCAGCTCCACTGAAATGTCACGGCTCCAAGGCTCCAACTCCAGCTCCGGCTTTTCAGACCTAGCCATCACGTTCAATCATTCCGGATGAAATATACTCAATATAATTTTTTCACATTTTCACAATAGTGGACCACCGGATAAGGAAGGCCATGCTGTAGTTGTTAATAATGATGATGATGAAATGATACCGTTCAGTGATCGTCCTACTGTATCAAAATATGGACCTATTGCAAGATCTGTACGAACGAGACCAAGTAATACAGATTCGGTTCAGGTATTGTCATTTATATATATCTGTTTTAGAACTGTAATACAATATACACTCATACATAGGCTCCCAAACTAAGGTACGCATGGCACACTACAGTCTCCTAGGTCGTACCTGAGCAGCTCACAATATAGGCAAGAGTGTGAGAATAGTGATGGTATTTTCAAGAACTTTCATGTTTGTCAATATGTATTATTAATTATTTCTCTTTTATGAGACAATAATGAAGTAATCAATGCTTAATGTAATTTGTTGATCTTTTTAGTCTTTTTTATGATAAAACTCTTCTAATGGAACAGACCGAGACAGTTTTGATAATAACTGCGCTTATACAAGATAAACTGTTTTATAGCTGAAACATTTTGTTGAAAGTGATAACAAATTCAGTAGTAGGCTACGTGAGAAAATTGCCTTAAATTCGAGCAAAATTTCCATTTTTTATTGGTAATTTTCGTAATTTTCAACCCATTTACAAATAAAATTGTTGCATAGCACATCTCATTTTGATTTGGTTAGTGGTACTTCATTTTTTGGGGGCAACACCGCTTCTGGTAGAAAAAAAATATGATTTTTTTATATCCATGCTATTGGCACTTCTAATAAATACAGAAATATTTTATTAATCAGTTTTTATTTAAAATTTAAGGTGAATGCCAATGCTGATGTAAGTACACATTCTGTAGCTGCATCAAATGATGTTCCGAATCAAAAGCAAAGTGCAGCAATTAAGAGGAGTGTCTACTCTTCATTCGGTAAGTGTATTATTATATGCATTTTACAATGATTTCTCCCCAACTGGAAGACGGCAATGTTCAAATATATAGACAAGAATTGGTACTGATATTGCCTCAGCTGAGCATTGAGTTACCTGAAAAAATCGACTTCAAAGAGAGATAACAAAGTGATTCCATGGATTAAAATAAATCCATATTCTGATGTACTATAACTATAACTACTATAATTTGACGAATTCGCAAGATTGCAAAAATGCAAATCAATTTCACGTATTTTTATATATGCAGATTGCTGTGATATTTTAGAGTTGAAGTGCAAATCTACACAAGTTCGCTAGTTATGTTGAACACAATTAATATGGAAAAACTTTTTGAATGCTCGTATAGAATGAAATGAAATAAAACAGAAAAATGTTTAGTGAAAATTAGGGTCACAAATATCGGATTCTTGAGTTGATAAAAAAAAAATAGCCGAGCTCTACCATCTTCAAATACAATACTAAATTTTGTAATCGATTGAATAATTTGTTTCTAAAAAACAATTTATTTGAGCAATCCATATATACACCTCATGTTATGAGTTATCTGTACTGATAAATTTGATACTTCATTTTGCAATATTCAATAGATCACTATTGCCGTCTCTTCTTTCGTCATATGTAATTTATCCTTAATATTATCCTTTTGCAGAGAACATGCATGCTGTTTCATATTTCCCTGCTTCGTATCCAAGAAGTCGGTAAGTTCAAAAATGTTATGCAATTTCGGTATATACTAGTAGACAGATATACAAGATATACTGCATATTATACTGAATGAATACAACTTTTAATCATCTTGTTTTGCTTAGATGTAACCTAGTCAGCGTTTGTCACTATTATTTGTTTACCAATTTTTATATGTCTTGATATTTCTTTTAATTTGATTTACAAGCTATTTCTCTTTTTTCCACATTAGTTTAGTATAATTTTAGTAAGCACTTTCCTCATTTCAGTGAGTCATTTTCGACACAAAACTTGAAAAATCATCCTTGTATACCCGCTGCTGCCACAGGAGCAGTGCCAAGTAGATGCATATCTATTACCCAGGTATGTTGCTTATAGTACTTATATTATTATTATAATTCTATTCCGTCATAATCTTTTATTTTTCATTTTGTTGGATACCCCTGTAATATAAAATAGTTCAACTCAAAAACCTATTTTCTTTTAAATTTTATGTTACTGGTAATATTTTAATCTATATACTGATTATTATAATTTTATTCAAGTTTATAAAATTAATTAATACTGTTATTATTCATTTACTTTATACAGTTTTATGAATAATAAAGTCTTTGTTTGATACCTTCCATTAGTTAAACTTTAGGAGAATAATTTGGTCTCTTTTGTTGGGTCAATAACGCATATTTTATTGCCAAGTTCGTGATTTTAATTAGGTCATTATACCATGCTTTTTAGTCATTGTACTCTGGACCAAAGACTTGTCTCGGATGTCGACCATATTGAAATTATATTTCCATATGAATCAGTAGTAATGAAGTACAATATTTTTAATTGTTTGTACAGGCGGCTTCTAATTCAAAACTTCTCCATCGGGAGGAAACTGCGTTACAGCAGAATAAACCACCAAATCCAACTGAAGACCTTCAACTTGCGATGGAGTTGCAACAAATCGAACTTGGAATTCATCAGAAAAAACAACAACATTACCAGTAACGATAATAGGGTTTTAGTGTGAGCTCAATATTACGAACTGCCAACATTCTGTTTTATGACCATTTTTGAGTGTCCATTTAGAACTAATGTTGTACCTATAGTGGTTGTTGTTGTGGAAAATCGCTCTTCTGTACTTGGAGATGAAAAGTCACCAGAAGGCTTCAACTTTAATTCAAATATTCTCTCGAGAGCCAGTAATTTCATCCCAACTTCTGCTGGATTTTAAAATTCATCGAAACTCTTCCATATGGCTTATGGCGCTATTCTTCTAACATTCTGTGGCTAGAATTTTGCTGGCTACGCAATGGGTATATAAGTCATTTTCATATTCATATACTTGAATTGAACATTGCTCTCTTGTTTTTATATACAATTTTTTATGTTACACCGTGTACACTTTTTGTAATTTTTTTCTAAAGATTTCCAGAAAAAAAGTTCCATAAAGTAAAAGTTACAATCGAATGTTGTTTTGTTGTGTGTGTGTAGCTTCCTCTCTCATTCATATATCTTTTTTTTGCCAATTGTCAACCTTCATTATTTTGTACGCCTTTGTTTATATATATATAATTGTTTTATGGTCAAATGGAATGTGTATGTATTTATTGTTTGAGGTTGAATCAAAGAGTCTAATCAATGATTCAAGCTGTTATTGCTCTCAAGCATATGAAGATTGATTCCAACTGCCATATCATATTCTTGCTTCTGTACATATTTTTGCAATATTCAATTTTCAATCGTGTTTCAAAAGACATTCTATTATCAATTGTTTTATATATTTTAATACAACTAGTTTTTAAATTCATTTTTCCGCCCTACAATTTCTGCTGTCTGCTTCAATTCTTCTTCCAATCTTCCGGCAAAGAACATTTTCATTTGAATGTTTCACTTATTAGATAGATCAGGCATTTAGCCATAATGGAGTCTAATTATGAAAATTGCAAATAGTTGAGGTTCTCATATTTTAGGTTTATTATTTTGACATGAATAATAACCATATGGTATTACATAAAATGAATGATTTCATATCTCCACTTGTGGATACATTACTTACGATAATCAAATTGATACTTTTGCTACAAAACTATTGTAAATTAGCTTAATGTGCCATACAATCTTGATGCCCTTTAATGAATGTTGATAATTGCTTTGATAGTGTTGTTTGAATGTAATTCAACTGGATGGCTGTTTGCAGCAGTAAAATTGCAATGAATAAAGGAGATTCCACGACAACTGTGTTGCCAGAAACAGTGCCTCTGTTGTTTGCCTTATGGAAAGTTCTCTCACAGCTCGTCACAAATTTGTAAGGGGCACGTTTGTAAATGTTCATGAGATTCACTTACTAAAATTCCTTACACTTTTTATCTCGCCTCGCGGAACACTAAAAAATGAAAGGGCGAGGTTGATAAAAAAATGGTGTTATGCAGCGGTTCCCAAAGGGTGTGCTACTAGTGCGTCTTGGCGAGTTGCCAAATGCGCCCCGAAAACTAACAGGATTGTGTTCAGAATAACTAAAAAATGATTGAATATTTCACGTATTGCATTTATTATAAAAGTTTTAATGCTTTTTATTTTAAATGCTGGGTGTATGAATCAATAAATTCATTTTACCTTTCTATGTCGTTTATTTCTATTACTTAGTGTTTGCATAACAATGGAGATAGAAGTACTTGCTGAAATTTTACAGCTGCCGTTTAGTTATCTGCTGAATCGAGTTTAGGGAACATGAGTGATTTTTTTTTGCATTTTAAAGTAAAACAAGAGATGGAAGAAGAAGAGTTGACCTTTGCCACTACCCTCAAGAAGTTAGGCCGAGTCGCCAGTTGGGCGGCGACTTTACGATCCCTAGATCGCCATCCCTTTTCCACTGAACACTCGGAAGATGCTCGCGGAACACAGTTTGGGAAACACTGCATTAATATAATACCGCTTCAATTTCAATCCCTTTCGAATGTACGTGAGATATCTACCTTGTCCGCGGAGTAAACCAAAAGAGATACGAATTGCATATGGTGTGGAGAAATCTTACAAATAGACCCCTTTGAAATCGTCGTCTTTCTTACTATAAATAAATAAATAATAGTTTAGATGCGCAGGTGTCGTCTAACTGAGACAATGACATGAAACATGTATATATGCTCATTGACTGAGCGCAGCTCAATGGCTCTTTGTCCAGGTACAAGTACACCAGATGGCAGTAACGCATCGATACACAATATATCAAATGGAATATGTGTGGTTGACATTAACAGTGCTGCATTGGGACAACGAAGACTGAAGTACAATTGTTTTTCTGGTAAGTTTCAATGGTTCGCGTACCATATACCGTAGGCTAGTTTGAGTTGCTTGCATCTAACTGTTGTCGTGCCAGTACGGTACTGTTGGGATGACATCCCTTGTTAACACGAGAGTCTTGCCGAACACGAACGTCCAGGCTGCCGGACTGCCAGACGTCAAACTTCTAAACTTCTCGTACCGGTACCGGTACCGGTTCTGTCATTAGATAAGCATAGCCTAGCCTATTTCAACAATCAGACAATAGGGTTAATTTCTCTTTTGTCTGACACTAGACAGTTCCTTGGATTTTTTAACAAGTACCGGTACTATTCTTCAGTTCTTGAGTCCAGAGACATATGGTAGACCAGTTGCTTTCTTTGCAAACGTAGAATGACAGAATACTGGAATATGCAGATGTAGAAAAAGACAAATATTGGCATTTCTCTACTTTATTTGCAGGTCATCAACGTTTTCGCGGCGATGTGGCTCATCGTGCTAGGCGTTAGGAATACACTGCCACCGTACCTCTGATTACTTTGCGTGGGTTCGCAGGTTCGAATCCCATGCAGGGATGGTTATGTGCGAGAGGATCGCTGGACTCCTCGCCGCTGTTGGGTGGTTCACGTAACCGCTGGTCTGTTACAGTTTCCTCCACCATCAAGTCCATGCCTCCTAAACAAATAACTAACAAATCCCATACCTGACTTGGAATGGTAACTGAGCGAGAGGCCGTGGTTCGCCATATGTTTAAGCCGTCTTATCGTCTTACTTCTCCCCCGGGATAAATATGTAAATCCTATCCTATCCTTGCAATAGAAAAGTTGAGCCAACAATTTAGATTTATAAGTATTGTAATCATAATGTTTTGATTCAGCATTATATCCCTGACACAATCCTATACTATTCTAACAATTCATTGATTTCATAATACTGTAATAATGATAATCAACAACCACACGTGACCCTGTTTTTCTTTCCCGTTAAATCTTTGTCAATCTGCTACTGTGCTATGTTCCACCAACATATTTGGTCAATATAAGTCGAACAGTGTGCAGACTTAACAGCTTATGATGCTTCATGTATATGATGATGTAATCGAAGGCAGACTATTGATGAATTACTATAGTTTTATGAAAAGTTGCACTTTGCTCATCTTCATTAGAAAATTAGTGATCATATTAAATTTACATCTGAATCCTATTCTTCCCTTGTGCGCTTATGGATTCTTAGGGTTGGATATAGTGATATCAAGCCTGTAGAGTCACGTGGAATTCACTTTCACTGGAAAAAATTTGGACCAGATTCCTGACTCCTGGTTGTGAAAAATTCTGCCCTTAGCTCAAATTTCAATAAAATTTGAGCTTATATGAGCTTTTTTTATAGACTGGTATTAAGATTGTTTGTTAAATTGTTAACTTAAAAACGTAACAACCCACAAGTCGTCATATATCAGAGGCCACTATTACAGGGAAAAAGGCGCAACTAAGCGTCATATAAAAAAGAGATAACTCGGGAAAAGGGGCTTCAATCACTGTAGGCAAAATACACTCAATTTAAGTCAGATCAACTGATCCTACTCCTTTGTTTCATTTTCAAGATTTACTAACGGCCATCCAAGCTATTTATGCCATACAAGAAGCATGGAATAAAGTTTATTTTTTCTATAAAAAAGATTTGAGGATCTTAGATGTCCTGAAATGAAAGATGATGTTGGTGGAAGATGAATCATCTAAGAATCATGTGGAGGAATCAAGTTCTACAAAGGATGAATCATCTCCATCTAATCTTACAGATCTTCATTGTCATCAACAACATGCTAGAAATGAGAGGTTTGATACTTTGTTATTCATTCCAAATAAGTTATCAAGATTTTGTGTGATGAAGTAGATTGCTTTCATATTTCCAGTGGTCGTTAGCACTGAGGCCACTAGGCATTTTTAAGAACAAGGTGATTTCGAAATCTAAAAAACTACTCGAAAAATAAACCAAGAAAAACGAAAGACCAATCTTGTGCAAAATAGTGACATGAATTTTTCTGCAGGTAGACTGCTGTTTCGATACAACTAAGCCCTACTATAAACAAGCGCAATTATGTTTACTTTATTTCATTTATTACCACACACTGAGACAACGATTTACGGTAATTCTAGGATTGATGAAGACTTTAACCTCTGTTATGTAATGAAAATTTTCAATAGGAATGTATGTAGGCTACTGTATAAAAATACACCACTGATATAGATCAGGATTTTTAAACTGCTATTATCTGTTACTCTGGGTGAAGCTTGGTTTTTTACTCGCCAGTTCTGAAATCTTTAAAATGCATAAAAAAAATTGAATGCATTCAGGTTATTGAATATACGAAAATTAAAGTCAAGAAATGCAGCGCGTACGCGAAGAGGGAAAGAAAATTATGAGTTTTATGAGTTGGCAAAGTTGTTGCCGATTCCTGTTGAGACGTCGAGTCAACTTGATAAAGCTTCAATTATTCGTCTCACAATGAGTTTTTTAAAATTGAGAGAATTCAACTTTTGTGTTGAACCCCAATGGAATCTAGTGAATGAAGGGCCACCTCCAAACCGTACAGTAAAAGGTAAGGCTTTACATTATATGTTTGTGAATTCAATCTTTAATAAGGTTGTATTGTTAATTAACTGAGTTTTGCTGTTGTTATATCATCTTCAATGGAAAATTTTGGGTCTAGTATAGTATAGTACCACAAGTACCTTGATGTGGCATAACCATTTTTGCCTATATCATTCCTAACCCTCATCTGACTATGTCATCCAAAAATTATGTCACTGCGACATCATAGAGCTTGTCAAAGTATAGCTACGATCAACCGAAATGGTGTCCGCGGCGGTGATAACGAACTCACTAACACCAGCGATCTGTCTCTTATCGGGATCAATATGTTAAGAAATCAAGAGAGAGTATGCATTTATATGCAACCTAGTTTGCTTGATGTTGGGTGATAATCTTTGCGTTTTGGTCGAACGTCCGTATTTTTTGGCGTGGGCCCTATTTCGTCACTGTGACATAATTTTTGGATGACATTAGTCAGATGGGGTTAAGGAATGATATATTGAAAATTGTTGTGCCACATCCACTAGAAGTAATCTCCTTGTGGTACTATACTATATCAGGCCTGAAAGCGGAAATCATTGTAAATTGGTAGAAATTGAAATTTTTAATGCAGATTAGTTTCCATCAGGGTTTCTCAAACTAGGGTCACAAGCAAAGGTTTTTTTTAAAGGGTGATTGCAATTTGTTCAATTTTTCTTCAACAACTGTAAGGCATTTATTCATTTGCTTTCACTTGTTAGCTTTTTCCTTATTAAACATGACGCATAGAATAACTGATGGAAAAGATTAGAAAGCGAAACTAGGTATTTTTATAGTAAGAAGTGGTTTACGAGTGTTGAAATTTTTGAGAAAAGGCCACGAATCTTGAAAGTTTGATAATCATTGGTTTAAATATAAATTGTTCAATATTTCAGTGATATTGTGAAATACTATATATTTTGTTGGAGCTTCAGGTGTCAATGGCCTATAATAATAGTTCACAATGATAATACAATGATTCCTTTCAAATATATTCTAAATACATATATCAGAAATTTTGAATGTACAGGGTGGTAAAAAAGTAACACAAAATTAACAAAAGTTCAGATGAAATGCTATTTAAAACATTTAACGACTGATGCCTTTTTACAGTATTAAATTATGGTTAGATGTTCTTAGAATATTTCGCGACTGACGCCTATTAACAGTCACTTTTTAACGTTGTCATGGCGAAATTTTTCTAACACCTCGTATTTGAATATTTATTTCATTTTGGACATCGCTTACAACCTATTTTCACACTACTATAAATATCTACATGTACTACTTCATGCAAATTCGCCATCTAGTTTAACCTGCAATTGACCTTTGGCCTCTGCTGATTCCTGGTTTTATAGATTTGATTTTACAGCAAGTAAATCATTATTTATTTATTGTTTAATGACTCAGATGCCTCAAGGTCAGTAAAGTCTGCTCTACAACAGGTTGCAATGACTAAAATAATCGAAGAACAACTAGGATCACGTATATTACAAGTAAGCAAAAAATCGTCAACTTATTGTTTTATATTTTGGATTTGAGTTGAATTCCATTTTGGTATTTATAGTGTTTATAACATACAGTATGAACCCAGGCCATTTTGAATATATTCCAGAGAGAATATAGCTTTTGATCATCTTAGATTACTGAAACTTTTGGATATAAACAAAAACTAAAACTCATACAAACAGAAGTTCATAGGTTAAATAATTTTGTTCAGGAAATTTCTTAGTACTGTTTTTTTAGTCACCCTGTATATTTAGTGTAAGTTGTATTTATGGGAAAAATGTGTATTCTCCATTTTGATTCAATAGAAACTGAACTAATTTCCCTTTATAATTAGATAATATCTTTTTGTTTTTACAAATGCTTTTTTTGTTTTTCAGAGCCTCGATGGATTTATGTTTGTGCTAAATTGTTCAGGAAGATTTTTATATGTTTCTGAAAGTGTTTCTATATTTCTTGGATTATCACAAGTATGTACAAAAATATATTTTACAACAATTCATCAGAGATGATATTACTTTAGTCAGGTCGAAATAGGGATATCCAAAGTGACTTAAATATTGAATTATTAGTTTATTTATTCTTGATTTTATTTTCCCTATTGAGATTGGGTGAGATGTAGGGAATTTGGCTTAATACCAATATCAACATAGTTAAGTTTAACATTGAAACCAGTTGTGCTCTAGAGTTCAAATGTTTGTGTTTTACTTGTTTATTCTATGTCAGGGGTGTGCTACATTTTCTGTCAGTGGTCCATATAACCAACTTCAGACATCTAGCCAGGCCACGCACATAATTTAGTATATACATGCATGCAAGAGAAGAGAATGCGACTATCGCTTAGCCTTAGAGTAATAATGCCCCGAACAAAATAGCGAAGATTTAACACAGTGACAAGAGCATAAAAACATTATGTTTTCATCCATGTGAGCAATTTTTTGACTCACTGTCAGATTCGGTTATGCTTGATGGGGCATGATCTGAGTCATGATGATGGCCACACTAAATGGCTTGGTGGGCCGTCAATCGCACACCCCTGTTCTATGTATATCTCTAAATATAAATGGCTGAATTTAACAAACATTCCTTGTTGCAAAATATATTTTGCATAAACATAATGCAACCCATTTTATTTGTTCTTAGTCATAATATACTGTTCATATGTAAAGTTTTGCTTTCAGTTTTTTTTCATCGGTTAAGTATGATGATATTTGCTTGTAATAGGTGTAAAAGGATGAGGTCTATGGCTATACTAGTTCTTGCATTCAACTGACGCAAAATGTTTTACTTTTGTTGCTTATTTCTGCTTCAGGTTGAAATGATTGGAAGTAGTATATTTGATTATACATATCCTGATGATCGTAATGAACTTGCCGTCCATCTTAGCGTTATGTTGTCTCCTTCAAAAACTGATGATGTCACAATGGGAAGCAATAATAATACAAAAAAGCAATCAGGTAATTGTGAATTATTTTGTAGCCACCTCAAATTGCGTGTAATCATTTTCTTCAGTTTGGAATGACCAGATGTCATTGGTTCGGGTATCCCTACCCATTTAATAACATCTGGGGTGAGGTGACAAGTATCGGATTTCAACCCGAGATTTATACCTTCAATGACATTAAAGTCTAACGCTTTAACCACTTCATCCGAGCAAGGTAGATTCTACATATAGCAGGCATGGCCTAAATTTATTATTCCGAAAACATTGTAAAATAATGTTTTCAAATGTATATAATACATTTTATTTTAAAATGAATCTTTTTCGACAAAAAACATTTAGAAATCGATATATATTCGAAAATTTATTAAAGTTAAAGGAGATTATCGTTAGTTTTCACAAACGGAACGAGAACCTTTTTGGTGTTGTTCTTGTAGGCTTAATTGTCCAAAAAGGTTATTCTTCAATTCAATTTATTCAATAATTTGAAATGTTAAATGCAATTAATTTCGAACCAATTCAAATGTTTATTCGTTTTAAACATTCCTGTGGGTAAACGTCAGATTGTCTGTAGCCGATATTGTTTCAAACAGCCTAATATTTCCATTCGGTGACATATTATTAAAAATCATTGTTGAGCACCATAACAGGCTTCATTATTTGTCCAGCAATAGGCAATTGATTAGGCAATAGATATCATGTTAGGATATGATAGGATTTACATATTTATCCAGGGGGAGAGGAAAGGGAGTATGGGATTAGTTAGCCAGTTATTAGTTCCAGATGCATGGACTTGATGGTGGAGGAAGCCGTAACTCGTAAGCGACAAGTGTTTACGTGAAGAACCCTACGGCTACAAGGAGTCCAACAATCCTCTTGCACATGCAAACCTGCACCTGCACCTGCAAACCCACACAGGATAGTCAAAGGTGCAGTTACAAGCGTATTCCTAACGCTTAGCATGATGTGCCACAACACCGAGCCAAAGTAAAATAAATCCATCTTAGGGTAGCTATGAAGGCATCGCATGATCGCAGGTTGAAATCTTTGGTTCGAGTACCACGTCCACCTCACCCAGGGTGTAATAAATTTAGTAGGCAATGTCGAACTAGAATGATCTTGGTTAGTAGCTCTTCGTAGCAGTAGCTAGCCGCTAGTACAGAGCCTAGTTCGGAGCTAAAGGCATATAAATGCGCTGTATAAAAGGTTTTTCTTCTTGCCTGTCTTTCAATATCTGAACCAGGGTGGTCCAAGGTTGACGGTCTCGTGGGCCACACTATTATTTTTGTATTGTTCGCGGACCACAATAGTGCTAAGAATAGGTGAACATTGCAATACAAAACAAACACTTTTATTGTCCAGCACATTAATCTTTATTTGTCATTTATCAAGCTAAAACATGCCAAAACCACCAAAGAACTCACTAAAACGTTCAAAAATCTTACGATACTTTCGTACTATGTGAACCAAGATGGTGGGCACCGGAATGTAGTATATGTACCAGGTTATGGTTAGGCCATAATACTATTCCAATTTTCCTTATTGTAGTTCTATTACGAGTTCTGGGACTAGCCAAGTGACTCCCGTAGTATTTGGACCTAAAATTTTGGCCAACCTTAACCTGGTACACATACCAAGTTCTGGTGTCCGCCATCTTGTTTCACATACTACAGGAGTACCAATTTTACTATATCTACATACACATGTATATCTACATACACATGTAAGATTTCAAACTTTTCATCGCAGAGAAAATGTCGTTTTAGATTGTCACCGACACAACTTGCAGACATATTAGCAAGCATTGTGGTATTTTGTCTCCCATATCCAGTCAAACCTCTGTTTGAATTGGTCAGCTTTCTTTTCAAACTCATGTGTACAAAATAACTGCAGATTTATTGATTACCGAGTTTTACCAAATTTGAGATAAAGGAAGGTAATTACTAAATTTTCTGACATACAGGCAGCAGCATTTTTTACTGTTTAGACTGGTTGTAAAAAAAACACCCAGCAGGAATTATATCTTAATATTTAGTTATCAGGCATAGCCAACCTAGGCTAATTAATAGATTCATCATTAGATTATTAGTGTTCTATTAAGCCTATATTGTTAGCATATATTCCCGCCAAAAAATATAAAACCAGTTAACATTTAAACTAGCCAAACACATTTTGTAACTTCGCTATTTGCCTCACTAGTCAATTCAGAGACCGATATGTCAAAAGCTTTTTCTGGTAATTTATATAACGAAACAACACCAAATGTGATTTTTTGTTCACCCTCGCGCAAATGCGACGTGGGCCACAGATAATGAAGCGGTGGGCCACATGTGGTCCGCTGGCCTGGGTTTGGACCACCATGATCTAAACTATACAACGCCTCATTTTTTTTCCATTTCGATGCTTTACAGAAAAAGAGAAGAATTGTGTCCGATCTTTCTTTATAAGAATGAAATCAACTCTCACAAAACGAGGTGTAACTCCCAAATCATCCTATTACAAGGTAAGCAAAGAATGCATTTTTCAATTAAAAACAAACGTTGGAACTAACATCTCAAATCGCAGCAGCTGTGCTGTACTAAATGCAAAAACTACAGTTTCATAAGAACTTCAATTAACTGGAATTCACAACCTCCCAGTTATTTTTTCTTGAAAAGAACTGCTTTAATTAAGTCTCACATAAATCTGTATTCATTAATGCGCAATTCTACCTTATAATGATTAGAAAGCTCAGGAGCTTATGCAACTTCAGTGGCCACCCATAACTTTGCTCATTGATCAATCTCCTATTTTTTTGACTACGGTATGTGTGTGTACTTTGAGCATATTTCCTTATGAAAAGAAAATTCATCAACCTGTTATCATATGCATATATAGGCAATTGTGGGAATGTATGTTGTCTATGACAAACTAGAAAATTCATGAGTTTTTCAAAATTTGCAGATTCATACATTTAGGTGGTAACGCTCACATGGCCTTGAAATTGAAGCCATCAAACACCTCGTGGCATCGAGGCTGGGGAGTCTGGGCTGGAACCAGACTCACCAAAACAGATGGGGCCGGAGCTACCAGGAGTTTCAGCTCCTAACGTTCTAATTATTTTTTTACATATTTTTGATGTTCTAAAACGTCATAATAGCAAGTTTTTTAAAATTTAATGTCCAATATTTATTTAGATATGTAGAGTTTAACCCACTTCCAAAATTGTATTTATACAGATATTTTTCATGATTTGATCACAGTGAAAATATCATTCAATGGCTATGGAGCTGTATCCCAGCTCCAGGGTAAAAAATGAGGCGCTGGAGCCGAATCCATTGGCTAGATCCCCAGCCATTTTATAGATATGCTATTATAACATAGGTAACACCAAACAGACTAATATGAGCAGCCAATTATATTTTATAATTTATTCGTAAATTTCAATGCAATATTTATTTGCAGGTTGTCCACATGTGTACTCGATCACAATGTCCACCAACAAAACGAAATGGAACAAAAAACCTCACTACAAGATCTGATTGCAATAACTTATCAAAAGATTCTAACGCAACACGTAATCCAATTGGATTGATTGGTTTTGGGGCATCCTTGCCACCATATAGTCTAAGCGAACTCCCACTTCATGAAAACATTTTTACAATGAGAGTGAATCCAACACTAAATTTTACATACTGCGATCCAGCGTGAGTATGCATTATTACTTATGTCTCGCATAGACAAATGTGGTATTTATTTTTTGGACTCAAAGTAGATAGTTTTGCTAAAATGTTCTCGTTGGGTTTAAAAAAACAATGATTCAATTTCAAATTTTCAGAATTAGGAATGAAAAAAGTAGATGAAACGTTATTACTTTCATTTTTTTCCAAATTTTCCTCGAATTCTGACTGCTCGTTATTTCACCCAAAAAATTTTTTTTTATTTTTTTATCCAATAATACTTCGAAAATGACATTCGGTGCAATTGTTCGAACCAGGGATGTTCAGCAGACGGCTCGCAGGCCACAACCCAGTGTTTGATGTTGCCCTTGTCAGCACTCAGATTTTTTCCTATCAAACATAAAATCATAATTTGACAGGATTTTTGTTTGAAAAGGTGCTCATGTGGGTAAAAATAGACAATATTTGGACCTCCTGAAGTATACGCACCAAGATGGCGCACAACCTGAACTCAGGTTGTGCACCAAGTTAGGGTTCAAGTTATGCGACATCTTGGTGCGCATACTTCAGGGGTACCCAATATTTTTATTGCTCTTGTCGCTATTAATTGTGTGGCACAGCTAGATGTCTGACGTTGGGTATATGGCCCACTGACGAAAAATGTCGCACACCCCTGGTTCAAACATTTTATATGACATTACCTACAATTCTTTTCACATTTGGCTATGTTATTGCTATTATCGTGGTGGCGACATCAGTCAGTTTTTATTTGCATTAATATGTTTGAGGCGCACTCCATTGTTCCTTATGATCTCACAAGCGCTGTGGATACATGGTTGTATATTCAGATGATTAAAATGTATCATTGGACTCAATAAGAAAAATTCCAAGCCTTGAAATTGTGAATTTAGACTACATATAGCATTTTATTATAATCATGCTCTTTTCGTTTTCATTATACGCTTGTTCTTTTAGAATTGAAGATATGTTGGGATACAATGTGCGGGATGTCGTAGGACAAAGTTTTTATCACAGTATTCATGCAGGAGATGTCAATAAAATAAAGAAATGTCACATTGAATGTAAGTTTTATTCTATGTGTATATTACTTGTTTTGAAATTTTTTTGTATGTCCTGCATCCTGCTTCAGAGTTAAAGAAAGTTGTTTTCTGAGCGAAGTTACGAACGAACACTGAAGGGACTATCCGAATTATAGTGCAGAATTTTGCGTTAGTGAATACCGATTGACGCAAGACATAAAGCAGTTGATGTCAATACGATCAGGAAAACAGCTATGAGGTGGCAACTACTGAATTCCAAATAGCATGGAAAATCTTTCGAAAGAACTTGAAATTCGAAAAAAATTTTGTGGTTCTTTATTATTATTTATTTATACAGTAATATAAAAATGATGCAGAGACTGTATGGATGTTTCTGCTAGCATTGATTCGCTCATTAATTCTCGTAATAATGGATGTATTAATGTCATCTGTAATAATGCCAATCGACAATTGCAATTTGTACCTCCGCTCAAAAGATATTTGAGCACGGGTGTAAACCTTTTGTGGCTTTATGTGTTATTTGTCAGTTTTTAGTTGTGTGTGTTTCAAAAATTAGTTGTAAATCAAATAATTTAATTGTCATGTTTTTCGAGTTGTTTTAGTTTAGGTATAATATTCAAAAATTAGTCCAAGAAAAGAATAGGCTAAAAGTAGCTATCAGTACCTGCTGGCATCACATGGTTGAAAAGTTTTTGAAAATGATGGTTTTGAACATGTAAACCAGTTTGCAAGCGCCAACTCTCAGGGAAACGTCCAATTTAACCATGTTTTTTTTTTATTGACAGTATTGACTAAAGGACATGTCAGAACACCATACTACAGGTGGATGCACAAATCCGGAGGATATAGATGGATATATTCTTCTATTACATTGCTAGCTAATCAAAGACTTTATCCTGAACAATCATTTATATGGATTAACAATGTAATAAGGTGAGGCAAAAGTGGTAGTCATGAATTTCAAAGTATCCGTTACTAAAATGGTGTTTCTCTCAGAAAAAAAGGTTCTGTGATCTACTGGTAACTTACATTTGCCAACCAGAAATAATGTTGAATTCTTCATTTTTAAAACAAATTCCAAGCATGTGCACAATGACCAATTACAATTCTCGCAAACCACTATCAAGATCATGCATCTCAAAACGAAAAACTGGTTGAATATTACCATACCCAATAGGGATTGGTAACCTTATAAGAGGCCATAGATCACCATATGATCGGCTTTTCTTACTCGGGTAGGGATATCAAAATGCTATCCTGACTTCGTGGTTCAAGTACTCCTGTTTAATTGTTAGCATGGCGGAAAGCCAAATATTTCCATTTTTCCAAGCGTTTGAAAATGCAAAGTATGCAAAACTACAGCCTTCTTTTTATCTATATTCATTACCCTGATGGATGCCTGATTTTGGATTTCTTTCTCAAGTAAATATTTGAAATAAGTATGAATCACTTGAGCGGAAAACCAGTATGATGTGATCATTTTGTGTTCAAAATTTAAAAAATTGCATGAGTCCTAAAACTTTTCTTTAATTGTTTTTTCAGTGGTATTTGTGAAGAAAATCAAGTTATTGATTTATTTCAATTTCCACAAGAAGAAATTGATCGTCGAAAAAATTTATTAGAAAAGCAGAAATTAACTGAAGGTATGTCTTACTAGGTAGTTGATATATATTAGCAACTTTTAAGTAAATTGCTATACTAGACAAAATACTTATATGGCATGTGATAAAGTAAATACCGTTTCCTCTCTAAACTCATTTGGCTGGTGGATATCATGGCAGCTAAATAGCAATCAGTTTTTCAGTAAGTTAACTATTTTAAACACAAAAAATCGTTTTCTCCAATTTTACTAATACACAGGGCTCGAGGTGAAGTGCCTCATTGGCGGAATAGAGGGAATGATAAACATTAGATGATATTAATCGCAGTCGAAAATTTTGTCTGGAAATAAGCTTGAGATCAGCTGTGAAATTCATGTTTCATGAGTTTCGAAGTCAAAATTACTGTCGGATTACAGACTTGCAACTGTATTGATCAAAGTCTAAATTTCTGGCAAACTTAAAACGCTAAGTTAACTAAGTATTCTCAACAAGAATTAAACGAGAATATCGGTCAGAGACCGAAGACTTATCGATCGAAAGTGAGGGGATCCCCCAAAACAGCGCTCTTACTCCATAGGGACACCTTGTGTCCCATCACTAATTAATTAATAACTCGTTAATTATACGACATAATTCACCCAAAATCAATAGGCTTTTGGTCCGACATATGATGAATGCACATGCAAAATCTGGAGCGGATTCAATCTCGCTTTCGTGAGATATCGCGTGCATCTAACAGACAGACAAATACCTATCAACATACTTACCGATCTCAAGATTGATAAGTAAAAAGGCTTTCATTATTAAAATTTGATTTTTCAGAGTTTGTCTAAATCATAATTTTTTCAACCAGAGTCAGCAGTCGTAAATTTTTTTTTTAATCCTAATGGATTGAAAGTAGTTTTTTTTAGAAACTGCAACTATGATGTTGTGACAGACAATCTATACTTGTCTATAATGATCATGTTCCGACTTCTATTACTAAATCAATAAATTTCTTTCAGCAAAAACTAAATCCAAGGTGAAGAAATCAAGCAATGAAAAAGATTCGAAAAAGACAAAACTTTGCAAAAATAAAAAGGAAGAAACTTCAGAAACATCATCAGAAGATAGTAATAACATATCAGAAAAGTCCTCAACATCTAAGGATTTTGATGAATCTTCTTCAACTGATTGCAATAACAATTCTGTAACAATTGATGAAAAATATCAAAATCAAAAGCATCCTATTTGTCAAGAGAATTTAGATGCTACTAGCAAAAGGAATTCTAAGGTATGTGCTCTAATCAACTATTTTGTTATTATTTGTCATCAATAGTATATTACTTCTATAAAAAATAAAATTGTGATAATAGTATTGCTTTGCATAAAACGATTTTCGGTCATGGAACTGTTTTCAGTAGTCAGAATGCGAAAAAAATTTCTTCAGCGTCTAATGGATTTAAATTATTAAATTAGTTAAACTAAATGGCGACTGGCGTAGCTGTTAAAGTTGTAGTCATAGTGTTCTTAACATGGGGATTAGATAGACTGGGGCACAATTTTTTAGTAATTTGTGTATGCCTGGGCAATCTCGAATACCTTATGATTTCAGAATCGAATATTTTTTTTCGAATCTTGAATACTTGGGGAGTCAATGGGAGATATGTAATTGTATGCGACTTCTTTTTATTGTAATTGGTCCTGTCAACAAATGAATTACTGAGAACATAGAATATGTCACTCTACTCACTCAGACAGATTGCGGATCGTTCACACACAATAAGGAACACTATTTATCAATAACTCACTATACAGAGAATAGTCATATGTCAGAATCGCATTGAAAAAATATGGCTTCAATAAAAAAAAATGGGTAATTCACCTCGACCATTAATGAAAAGAACAAAAGCAAGATGGCGGTGATTTAAAATTTTGTTCTGAATCGATTCCAATCATTCTATATTCAAATCTATTCGAATATTCAATTCGAAGTGCTCAGCCCTAATTATGTGACATTTTTTCAGCGAAAACTATCTACGATTGAATCTGCCATTCCCGGTGGGAAAGAGAGAAGAAATGACAATGAAGCTTCGGAAATAACAGAAACAAGTATGCCACAGAATGATGGTGAAACCGATAATGTGAACGCAATCAAAACCTCCCATGATAAAACATCTAACGCAAAGCAAAGCGGACAACTTGATAAAGAATCGAGATTAAAATCTGACAGTGCTATTGAAAATGATGCCACTATAAATAAGCCAAACGATGGAAGTGGTGTGAAGATTTATTGTATGGCTACTGATTTTTCTGGTGTTAAAATAGCTGCGAAGCATTTGGCAAAACCAATAATTTACGCTGATTCAGTTTCTGAATACATGGACGTTGATTCAACAATGTGGGCAAATCCTCCAAATAAAGAAATTTCGAATCATAACGATCTTCCTCCAGGTATAAAACAAATGCCAGGTTTATGGTTTAATAGACAAACACAAACACCTTCTGCGGTTCATCATCACTATCCTTTTGGCATTAACCCGAATCTACTTCACTCTAATCCACTACTGGCAAAAATCATGATGGCAGGTTGGGCAGGTCATCGTTTACCAGGTGCTGATACTTTCATGGTAACTGCACCCGTTCAATTAATGTCTCCGATTCGATTGCCTGAAAATATGGACGAGGGTGATTTTGCAAAATGTAACGCGGCTTCACAAGCCTCAGTTGCAGCTGTTTTAGAAGAATTAAAAAAAGATCCGCTTCATAAGGTGAATCCACCAAATAAAGTCGTTTTGCCTAGTCTCCATGACAATGGACTTAACAAATCGACGATAATATCAGGCTCGAAAAACTTGTTGCATTCCGTTCCATGTTTTAACATGGGCGAGACTTTGTCTGACGGTAAAACAATGCTGCCTAATACAAGCACTCAAACCAGCTCAACAGGTTTGCCATCCAGGGCTCTTACTACCTTGAATCTATACACAAATGAAGTTTTAAATCAACATGTGAGAGCTCAAACCGTAATACAAGTTCCAAGTACAATATTAGTTCCAACAAACAGTATGGTATTTAATAGTACAGAGCATCCTCCTCTACTTGCTATAAACTCGGATAACGGGTTAAAATTGCCAATACCGTCAACTCCGTTTCAACAACATGTAAATCCGTGTGTTATTCAACCATTCTCGTTCCCTCAAGTTCCAAAAGTTCCTTTTTGAAAGTTCCAGCGCTTTTTTATTATTTTTCTTTGTATACCTATGAATCAATTTTTAATTTTAAATTGTTGCAAAGTAAGAATTTATTAAATTGAAGTGATGTTCCAAATGTCAAGTTCATCAAAATTATTGATGTTAACTTAAATTTTTGGGTAGTCAAATTATTTGTTACCAATTTGTTTAGGTTTTTTAATTTCAAGCGAATTGATGTCGATAAATTATCTCGTTTTGTGAAAACTATAAATCAACAAATCAAAATTTCTTGCAAGTTTTAGGTAGTTTTCTTTGTTATTTTTTCAACACACTTTCATTACTCGTTTCATACCATGTTAGTAGGATGTCTTGTTAATTACTGATGCACAAAAATTGTAGTGTTGTTCTAATGTTATTTTCTTCGGTGCATATTTTTAGAACTACATATTATCCACTGAAAGTTTAGTGTTGTTCTCTTGAATGTCTTTTGTATGCACCTCATCATCTATATGCATGCAACTCATTATAATAATGTATTTTGTAATCATGACATACATAATCTCAAATCCCAGTCGTCTCTTACAGTTAATTTCCTTTATAAACCAAGCACTCAATAATTTTCTTATAAATAAACAAATCCTTAGCACTGATATAATGCTACACTGTTTATATGGCAATCCCGTATACTTTGAAATCCTGCTAGGATTTAAAAAATATAATTCAATAACAAAAACCAAGATTTCTCCTAAAATATTTGATTTTCATTGTAAAGGTGCGTATCGAGCATAACTGTAAATGTTAACCTTCATTTAAATATAACTAGACATTTATGACACTTAATTAAGTTGTTTACTGTACATTGACAAACAAACTGTTATTGCACTTATCTTCATAAATTAAAGTTGAAATGAAATATAGTGCATCTTCCAATTGATTATTTGAACATTGAATCTTCCATGTAAGTTGGTTCATTAAAACTTTCCATCTCTCTTTGGATTTAAATCTTATCAGATCGTGAAGTTAACCTCTTTCTTGACAATGATTATTAGATGAGGATTATTATATGTGTATATAAAGTCCATGCAGCAGAAATGAATAACTAGACACACATTTCCACACCCGACATGGATCGATAATTGGACGAGAGACAGCTGTTCGCCTATCATCGACTTTTCTCCTTCCAAGATAACTAGGAAATCATTGATAAACAAAGCAGTGTATCGCGCATTATACTACACCTGTTAAAAGTTCCATTTGTTATTGATATTATATGTTGGATATTTTTGATTTTTTTATTCTTATTTCTTTCTAATGTGCCATTCTAGCTTTTTTATTGGTGCTTTTACCCAAGATGTTTTTCTTATAATTCGGCAGTTATTGTTGAACCTCAAAATGTCACAGAATAAATTTCCTACTGGTCTTATTTGTCATTGTGTTACGTCAGAGGAGAAACACAACAAGGCGCGAATATCAGAACTTCATCGGAACTCAATCTTATAAGAATGTGTAAAAAAGATGATGGATCGTTGATCTAATTCTATTGAAAGTAACGAATGTGATTGATCGAATATTGACTGTCGGCTTGCAAGTTCTTTTTCATCAACGGAATATCACTTCGTTAGGCTTATACGAATCTTGCGACAGCCTCTGCTCTTCAATTCCTTGTCCAATCCGAAAGTGCTTTAATGGGGTGTTCATTTGTTAGCGGTTAGTCTGTCGGTGGGTAGGGTAGAATTTTCATATTTATTCCGGGGTAGAGGAAAGCTGATAAGAAGGCTTAATCATATGGCGAACCACGGCTTTTCATCCGATTACCAATTCATATCGGTGTGTAGGGTTGGATTTACATATTAATTCTGTGGTAGATGAAAGCTGATAAGACGACTGAAGCATATCGCGAACCACGGCCTTTCATCCGGTTATCAGTCCATGTCTACATGGGATTAGTTAGCTAGTTATTTTGTTTTCAGATGCATGGACTTGATGACAAGAGAATTCTTCCAAATTACGTTTCTGTGATACGACGGAAGTCTAGCGATGACGTTTCACAATTACCATATATCCCGTCTTTTTCAATTTACACGCTGTGGATCCGCGCGGGGCGCCATTAATCTGCGGTGCGATGGCATGTGTGTTTCAAACGCTTAGCCTTAGACCCATGTGTCGACCGTGAGAAAATGTAATTAAGATTTCAGTATATACCATATTTTTCCGAGGGAGAGGAAAGTCGATTCAGATTAAACATGCAGCGAACCGGCTGCTCCGGCGATGAAGATCAGTAGGTCACTGAAGCCAATCAGCGTTTAGCCTACACCCTGGTCTACATTAACAATTCTGTGATGATAAGCAGTTTACTATTCTATGGCACAAAATTATTTGGGTTTCGTATGTAAATTCATTTTTGGATTTTTACTTCTTTATAGTCGGGGACAACTTTCTGCACACTTACAAAGTCACGTCAACAGTTTGCTGACAAGCGTGTGTATAAGCTTCTTCACGGCCAGGCAATCGTCGGGCTCATTGTGGGAGTTATCGTCATTGCGCATGATGGGTCCCGTTACCACTATAGTTTCTCATGGCTTTTCGTAGCAATTCAGTTTGGGACGTTTTGAAATGTGCAGACAACATGGTACGATATTGTTGATTGGCTAATGATTAATCGACCTAGTACGTAATACTATCTTTCAGCGTATCCTTGCGCACCATATAATGACGTTATGTATAATAGGAAGATAGAAGAGTCGAAAGGACTACCGCATGATTAGGATGTGAGATCGACGAAACAACAGTGATGACAGAGACTGTAAGTTCGTCAAATATCAAAAGCTAGACGGCAAATTCAATAACTCCACACGCTACTTCATTGTTCTCCCAAGTTCACAAGGGAAGGATGAACTGAATTAATGATGAACACGTCATTTTAAATTTTATTATGTTAAGATTCATAATTAGACATCAACAAAACAATGGTAATTTAGGTTGAAGACAATGGAAGCGTCTCGATTTGGTGCTATTCTCAATACCCACACAATGAGGACAATGTTTTTTTCTTGAATTGTCATGCTGGGTTAATTATTTCTTTTACTACCTCCTCCCCTCAATTCAAATACATTCGTTCCATATTTTCTTCATTGTCAGTAAGAGTGAAAGATTAGGAATTAGAATATCATTGAAGAATCGGATGCGACTGCCTACCGATTGGTGTATTATCATGTATAACCGTCGTTTGAAACAATCAAAGAGGCTACCACATATGGTAGCATAATATTTTGTTTCGAAACACATTTGGTAAAATGCTAATTGCTGATTAGGCTTATTATATGCCGACCTGAATTAATTGAATTTGCATAAAAATCTCATTAAAATTATATTTATTGATTGTCGACGCATCTGTTCACATGTAATGGGAGGATGGAATATTTAAAAATGTGAGTAGCAACAATAGTTACTACTTAGGAATTATTCGCATCCGTCGGTAATTGCAAATTTATGTTATTCCATTTGAATGGAAGTTTTTGAAGTGTAATGAATAACTTTGGAGGGGAATATTAGTCTGAGGTCAGCTGAATTTGTTACAGTCGAATGAATGAAATGAAATCTTCAGTAATTTGATCAAAATTTGACCGAGCAATATAATGGCGATTCAGTTTTTATCTCAAACATTTTTTTGGTTTATAATAAGCGCAGCGTGCTCAGTCTTTTGGATTATGTTTAACGATGACAATGTTCTTCCTTTAAAAATGCCATTATTAATGCCACATTATCAAAAACAATAAGATGGTTTCGAATAATCTTTTTTAAATACTTTTGTAGTCGATAATTTGTTAATCAATGTGAATCAAATAGTCGATTCCCTTTGCTTTTCATCGGGCCACTTAAAATAGATCTATTGATTATACAATATGCCAGATTAAAACATTGCGCCCGAATCTCAGTTTAGCGGCTTACGTACAATTGAGAAAATGACAGTCGATATGAGAATCCATCTGAAGAATAAAAGCAACAACTGTGACGACAAATTCATATCACCAAAAATGGGAAAAATTTTGGAACCTTGTCATGTGCCTATGAAAACGAACCTCACGAGACTTTTGTGATTCCGTGAAGCGTTGTTTTTGTTCGTCTCGGCTCACAGGCTGCGTTTCATCAGCGGCTCTTACTCCACCTCTCATCATAAATAGAACTATTACCAAAATTTTCATAGATTACCTTCGCAATTTTACCTACGTGACATATTCAATAGTATTTTATAGAATGTAAGAGAAAAAAGCAGCCAACCATCTATTGTTATGTATTCAAAACAACAAGATGCGCGGGCGTAAAACGTTCGTCTTGGACTCAGGTATCTATGTCGTCAGCGAACTATTGTTGTTGTTTTCTCATTTCGCAATTCAGAACATTTGTAAAAAGGTGTACTGCGTTTGTTTCTTTTTTATAAAGTACACCCCACAGTCAATCGTATTCAACTGACTCGCTCTTTGAATAAGTAGTGAGCGAGCGGCGGTCACGCTATTGGATAGGAATTGTCGACTATAAAAGCACAACAACTAAGCTGAAGTACCAAGTATTCGTTACGAAACCCTCAGACGGCTATGAGTGGAGAGGTTTGTGATGTAGATTAGTTAATAGTAGTACGCTTAAATGCTTTGCTTGAAGTTACTATCCGGAACGGACTTCATCACGATGAGTTTAGTTTCATGCAGTGCAGAAGTAAATACACTTGGAATAGATGTAGATCTTTCAAAATGTTGTTTATTTTTGATTACAGAAAAGAGAATTCTTTCTTAACTTGTTATATATTATAGTTATTCTTGAAAAAACTAGCTAAACTCTACAATGGCTAATGGTACTTTACAACTTATCGGCGTATTGATAGCATGCGCTGGAGGATTATGTACAATGGTGTCAACATTTCTGCCGGACTGGAGAAAAAACGATCCATCAGGAGAAGTATTGGAGTCTATCATAAGACATCAAGGTATAGTTAATATTTTCTAAGCTATGATCTTAAAATGTTGAATGGTAAATTTGCAAGTTATTCTGTGCTGTTAAGTATAATTTAGGGCAAATTTAAATCAAATGTCGCTTCAAAAGATATGACATAAATTGAGATTTTACTGCGTAATAAAAATAGCCGTTACTAATATTATCTACAAGCATATATCAAAAAATATCATTTTGTTGTATAATTTCTAATGGATACTTATCATATATATATCATTCAATGCACTGTATTATAATTCAACATATATACCTATGTGTTATTGCTGTTGTAGTTATGTGAAGAGTGTTATACTAGTGAAAAAGAATTTATTGTTTGAATTTTGAAATCAGAAAACGAGTTATCATTTATTCTTTTTGGCGACGTAATATGTATCTGAGTTTCAGATGCTCACAACAAAATGAAGTTTTTATGTGGTTGCTTCTTTCCTTATCAGTATATATAGTCCCCGTTTACTGAAATATGAAGTCCTAATGCGTAATAGTGTAACCATTTGAAGATATATTATAAATGTTATGTAACACCCGCGTGAATTTGTGAAATACAAAAAAAAACAACTTAAGTTGACATCACAGACTTCTTGAGCAAAACTGCGCGACTTTTGAAATACAATATTGTACCCATTATTGGAGCGGTCTTTTCATCTGGGTCAATTACCCACGCACTTTCTATTTAAAGTGAAAATTGACATTGTCCCACGGACGCTAGTATTGTATTGCTAGTCGCTAAACGTTAATATTGTCTTATTCACATTTTCTTTATTCACTTTCCAGGTATATGGATCCGATGTATTTCGTACCCAACTGGTACATGGCAGTGTGATGACTATGACACATTCTTTATTGGATTACCACAATCCTTGCAGGTATAAAATAGCGCAAAATTATTGTTGCACATCGCGGAAATACCGCTGCATGATTTTCGCTGTCTTAATTAGCATTTCTAGAATTCGCTTACCTGTAACATACATTGCTTTTTGTTCAATGACATATATATATGACATACATAAATTAGGGCTCGATAACTACATTTTGAATGGAATGATACAAGCCAATTTCATTCAGTCAAATACAAATAAATGTTACATTGCCTTATTCAATGTAAGTTTGGCTGTGTTTTTAAACAAAACATCTAAACAGCTTTTCATTTATTTTCATCCTTCGTCTATAATTATTTCCATGCTCATGGTTTACTGTAGATAACAGACGTTATAAGATTAGTGTCAAGTGTTGTTTCAATCTTTTTCATTGGTTTATTCGAAATATCGATATCAGCATTCGGTGGTATATAGTACTCTTTAAATTTGGCATCAAAGTTCGTTTAGTGTTTATGTTACGCGTAACTGAATTGGTTCGATATATTCAACATTACTTTACTACATTTTTTTGGTATCATATTTTTCAGATCGCCAGAGGAATGTCAATTTGTGCAAACTTGTTCGGATTTATAGGATTTCTTGCAGCAATTTTCGGACTACAGTGTACAACATGTATTGAAGGGAACCAACTGGTGAAGAATCGGGTTGCTATGGCATCTGGTGGATTTTTTCTTCTCTCCGGCGTCTGCATTGGAGTAGCTGCTTCAGCATTTTCACATCAGGTACTTTTTAGCTTATAATTTGTTTAGAGTCTGGTCCAGTATTATGAGCGTATCCAACACAGAAATTATTGAAGCGTATGATACCAGCATTAGTAATGCTCGTTACGGTTCTTTGGACCTCAAAGACGTAAACGAGTTCGAATGGCGCTGAAGTTCGCTAGACCGTTTCTTAAATGGCACGAAATGATGATGACAAACGAAAAAGTACCGATATTACTGTTCAGAATTACTGATACAAATTTCTGGTAGTCCGGCTATATTTCACCATCTTGCTATTTTAGCAAACGTAATCAATCACCTCTTTCGAATGCTCAATAAATCAAAACTGGTTACATTCAGACGTCTCAAGTCATCATCTTGTGATAAAACTACTATACCTGTACAGCACTCATATTGCGTAACTCAGTGAAGCCAAAAACACATTTTTGTGGATGACAAACACTAGCAAAATAAAAAGCTTTCCATTGTAATCAATAGGGGTGTTTTTCATGGATAATGGTGTCCCATAGCATCACTTGTTGTTTTGGGGAATCTTATAGAGTGATTGTATGATTAATGGTAGTCGGGTTCCAGAAGTTACCGTAATATATATTATAATTACATAAAAATTCCCCAAACCGTGACGTAACAATACTACTTTCTCTTGCAGATTCTGAATGAATACATGCGATTTTCAAACATCGCTTCAGCAGATATTGTGGGTCAAAGATTCGTATTCGGTGCTGCGCTTTTCATCGGTTGGACCGGCATGGCAGTGACTTTACTTGGAGGCTTGATCATCATGTGCGGAAGCTGTGGAGAGTCTAGCCCGGTCACAAGGTACCAGAGACAAAGTGTGAGAAGAGTAGCAAGCTTGGGAAGAAGTGTCTCAATGTCGTTTCGACGTGGAAGGCCGGAAAGAAAGCAGGATCCTGGGGAATATGTTTAAACTCCGATATAAACTTGTTTCCATTTAAAATAGAATAATGGAACTTACGATTGAAAAAGCAAAGTTGCCCCAGATACGGAAGAAGTAGAATGTATAATTTCATCATTCATCCACTGGATCTTTTCTAATTATGTTCACTGCGATGTTTTATAGCTTTTAGTAAAATCGAGCTTTATTAAAGTTGGTTCAGCTCAGAGTTCCCATAAATTTTATTGATTTTTTCAACTTGTAAGCTCTAGGTGATGTAGAACTTTTACTCATATTACATGGTTATGCTTTCTCAACTACTGTATGTAATCACTATAGGTTCATTGTTGAGCGGTGGAACAGCGACGTTTTTGTTGCTGTAAGAGTGAATTTTAGACGGAAAAGCGATTTAAAGCATTATTATGAATGTGGTTTGACCAGGATTTGGCCTAGTCTCGCGATTTAGTGGAGACCAATAATGAAATGGTACATTCCCGATTTTGAACATTTCGTATACCATGAGCTCGGATAAAGCAAGTGGACCCCATCTTTTTATTTACTGGCGGGGAAATAGGAATAGTTGAGAGATAGTTGCTGCTTCAAGTACTTACGGTTCCGTTGAAGATGTGACCAAACTTGCCCATATATTTTTCGTTTGATGAATGCTTTTTGAAGTAGTGACAAGAAACCACAAATATGTTGTTGATCGAAATTTCCTTCAAACGAAAGTAGAAATCTTATGAGATATACTTCCATGATGAATTCTAAAGACTGAGCCCGTGGTTTGACAATATAATCTAAGCAAGTGTCCTGGAGTTGATAGTATCTATCAGTGTATCAAGTATTAAATTATTTTAGGCAAGAGAAACTTGATTCTGAGTACATTTTGCATGGTTTATTGAACATGTTCGAGTATGGTCGAATTGAGTAAATTTGCACTCGAAATCGGAACAATATGATTAATTCTTGAAAAGCTCGCGTGCAGCAGGTTTTCATTTGTATCGAACTCTTTAACAACGGCCTCTCTCATTTCTGAAAATCATGCAAATCTTACAGCTCTTAAAAACAAGATCGGGTTTGTTGATTATATCACGACATTCCGAGAACGGGTTATTAGGCCCCTGCATCCACCTTAGCCTACGGGGCCAATGTGGTGTCAACCTGGGATTGGGTAACTCACCAGGTACATCGGGGTGCATGAATGAATTACGATTACATGCTGACCTAACTAAAACAACAAGTAATCAAGATTTTGTTCACAAAATGAAATTTCAGCATTCCTCACAAAATAGATAAGAGCATCCGATTAAGGCCAAGTGAGACCAATGCAGATATTTTTAAATTAGCAGTATAACAACATGAGAAGTTTCTGATCGTAGCGGCTTGAACTTTTTGCTTGCGAGTAAAATTAAAAATTGAAGCACCGATCTTGTGGAAATACGGCCTTTTAAATTTAGTGACAATAGCCTGACTGGCGATTAAGCTATAAGAAGAATGGTAAAATGTCACGCATTACGGCTATAGACAATTTATTATTATATATATATACATATATATTTTTCACCCATTTAAACACTAAAAAATTTTCAGACAAAGGTTAAAATAGTGTTATCCGAATCTAAATTTAGCCCAAATACGAAGCTCATATACACTTGCTGCTCGCGCTGAACTACATTTGTGCAAAATTACATTTCTGGAAAGTGGAAATTCCCATAATTCCCTTGCTCCTAAATCTGGTATTTTTGACGATCTTGAAATAGACGTCCCGAAAATTGGCTTGCTGAGTTTGGCAATTGGTCGAACTAAAGGCCTTTATTATGACGTCACAAACTACCTATTTCATAATTAATTTGTGTAATCGCCTAATCGTTGATTTGCTGATCTTCGCTTTGGGATATCATGAAGCTTCGTCGAAATAAAGTGGGAGTCGTCCCACAAGATGATGACGGAGGACACTACGCATCACTTACCGGTAGTACGAGAAAGAGGGGTCGAAGGAATCGCAGAAAGTCGGATACAGTGAGTCCATTTATTTTAAGTAACGCGTAGCAGAATTTGAAGTTCACCCACGTACTTGCTCGACACTATGCTCTATATGTGAAACTACTTAAAACTAGGAAGTAACTATCCACAGTACACTTTCACTCTGCTTATGAAACCGGCACTCATTTATTCGATCTAAACTGGGATTTGTAAAAGCAGCTGCACAACTGAGTATTTGACAGTTATTAATATTGATTATATACTTGATTAATCAATTTAATTAATAACTTAAGGAGCCAACTTTTGAGCCATCCTATATATTCAAGGTCAAACTAGCGTTCATTCACATATTTTTTATGAATTTTTTTTTATAAGGTGTGATTCAGGGTCTGTATAAGAAGGTGTCAACGAACCCCTCAATACATTTTAGTTTTTCGTTTATAGCCTACGTTAGGGATAACAGCCTGTGGAATCGGGGGAAATTTGCACTTACCCAAGCCCAAACTTCCAGCCATTTGAAAAACGTCTCCGGCATCGAATCCGGTTTTACAAAAAATTTGACTCTTTAGAAAACTTCAGTAAATTTTTGATAACAAAAACTTATCGTATGCAAGAATTCTTTAATTGTCTGTTGAGAATGCACCCACGTACTTGCTCGACACTATGCTCTATATGTGAAACTACTTAAAACTAGGAAGTAACTATCCACAGTACACTTTCACTCTGCTTATGAAACCGGCACTCATTTATTCGATCTAAACTGGGATTTGTAAAAGCAACTGCACAACTGAGTATTTGACAGTTATTAATATTGATTATATACTTGATTAATCAATTTAATTAATAACTTAAGGAGCCAACTTTTGAGCCATCCTATATATTCAAGGTCAAACTAGCGTTCATTCACATATTTTTTATGAATTTTTTTTTATAAGGTGTGATTCAGGGTCTGTATAAGAAGGTGTCAACGAACCCCTCAATACATTTTAGTTTTTCGTTTATAGCCTACGTTAGGGATAACAGCCTGTGGAATCGGGGGAAAATTTGCACTTACCCAAGCCCAAACTTCCAGCCATTTGAAAAACGTCTTCGGCATCGAATCCGGTTTTACAAAAAATTTGACTCTTTAGAAAACTTCATTGAAAACTTCAGTAAATTTTTGATAACAAAAACTTATCGTATGCAAGAATTCTTTAATTGTCTGTTGAGAATGCATGGTCAAATATCACCATTAAGTTTATCATCATTCCGACTCCGACTGCAGTGCCGACACCATACTCTTGAGAATTTAAAAGTTCGACTCAGGCCCCGACTCCGACAGAAATGCGATTCTGGATGTGACTTTAATATCATTTAAAACATGACTAACCTAGGGCTGGGCATTTTCGAATACCTTGTGATTTCAGAATCGAATCCAATAATTTTTTCGAATCGAATCTCGAATACTTGGAAATATATAATTGTAAGAGATAGTAATTGGTCCTCTTAACAAATGAATTACTGAAGACATAGAATACATCACTCAGTTAGATTACTGAGCCTTCACACATAATAAGAAACACGTTTTATCAATAACTCACTACAGAGAATAGTCATATGTTAGAATTGCGTTGAAAAATTATGACTTCAATGAACAAAAAATGAGGAATTCACCTAGATCATTGGCGGAAAGAAAAAAACAAGATGGCGGGGATTCGAAATTTAGCTTTGAACCGATTCGAATAATTTACTATTCGATTCGAATCGAAATGCCCAGCCCTATCCGCAACTCTAGTTTCTTGTTCAAAGTCCAGTTCGCAGTAGAGATCGGAATAACGTAGTCATATTCTCGAATCATATTTTCACAGTTCGAAGCAATTATGGGAATAAACAGCAAATCTTTTCGGTCTTTCGATCTTTATAGAGACCAGTTAGAAAAAAATATGTTGTTGCTGTTGATTTCTTTTACATAGCAGCGTTCTGGTTGTGTCATTTTTGAGTGTACTCCTAAAGTATGCGTACCAAGATGGCGGACACCGGGACGTAGTATGTATACCAGGTTAGGATTAGGCCATCATTTTATTCCAATTTTCCCTATTTTAGTTCTATTGCGACTCCGGGGACTAGCCAAGTGACTCCCGTAGTAGTTGTACATAAAATTATGACCTAACCCAAACCTGATACACATACTACGTTCCGGTGTTCGTCATCTTGGTACGCATACTTCACGAGTACACTTTTGAGTAGCTGTCTTTACTTAAAAGGGCCTAATTCTGAGCAAATTGTGAATGAACACCTTTTTGAGTAGTCTTCAGTCTAATGCATCGTTATGAGCAAATGTGGGAAAAATCGCTGTTTTTATGTAGACTAGTTTAGAGTGAATGTAAGAATGAACACGTGATTATCGGTATTTGCATTATGTGTAGGTTAGTGTTAAGATAGAATGTGCGAATAACCGCCACCACGCTTGTGATTAGTTGCTTTTGTAGGGTCTAGTTTTTAGCAAATGTGGGTATATTCACCCCAAGCCTGCTGATTGACTGCTCAACAGAGAATACTTAAGGTGGAATGTATGGCTGTATATCTGATATTTTTAGAGGTTGCTATGCATGCAATGCCTATGATAGAATGTGTGAGTAGACGGCATCCTGCTGATTAGTTTCTTACACAGAGCCTTTCCAATGAACACTCTCATGTTTTTTGTAGTTTCTTGTATGGTGCCTAGTTCAGAGTGGGTGGTTCCCAACAATATTTTCGCAATATCGGCGATAGACATTTTCGAGAACAAAGCAATACTTTTGCGCGGAAATCGTTGGCACAAATATCTGCTTCGAAGCACACATCGGCGCGATGGCCTGGTGTTGTACTTAACTATGTTGTCATCGCAGGAAATTCTTATGGGCAAATCTCATGCCCACAAGCTCATCCAGGATGTAATGAATTGGGTTAGTAATGCAAAAGGTCCTTCCAAAATATAGTAGCTCCTCACGTATCAGTGTTCGCTTCTATAAAGCCTTGTTAGGAGGAAATGAATGCAAATCGGCGTATAAAAATTTGATTCCTAGTAAGGATAAGAATGAAACTTTAGCAAAATAGTCTGAAGCCGGATTATTTAATGGGCCAGTTACTGGTGTGCGCGTGGTTTCTTACAAATACCTCGCCCTTTGATACGTCTGTCCAATGCTGTTCTCAATGAAACTCAACAGACGACAAACCGTAGTTCTTCAATTTCATAGAAAATAGCCGTGTACTCGTAGTCAATATGAATAACTGACTCGCTGACGAGTTGAATATTGCTCATTATGGCGTATGCTTATTATGACGTAATAAGGCGTGTGTTTTCCCAAATATTGTAATTCTAAAGAAACTAGTCAGTGAGCGACTATTCGCTTATATTCGCTGACGGATGCCATGAAACTTCGCCGGAATAAAGTGGGAGTCGTCCCACCAGACGATAGCGGAGGATATGGCGTATCACGTACCGGTAGTACCAAAAAGCGGAGTCGAAGAAATCGTAAAAAGTTGGATACAGTAAGTGGAATACCAAACTAATTTTTTGAACGCGTTTTTCTGTATTGCGCCAATTTTTGATAGACTTGGTTTCTCCAGTAGCGAAAATATACAGAGATTTGCCGAACACCTGCTTGTCGCAAGGAGTTTCGAGTAGACAGGGATGGAAACACAAAAACATATGACTGTATGTGGGCCATTTGTCCACTCTAAAAAAAAATTGGTGTAAATATATATACAATTGATATTAAAATGGCCTATATCCATCTAATGTGATACATCAGAGCGCAATCATAGCTGTTTTATGAAAATTAAGTTCATCGGAGACCGTGCAGATTGGGGCAGCCTGAGGGACGATCATAGGGGCATCCGACCCGGACAGCACGCTGTAGTGTAGAGGGCAGCATCTCCAAGCTGTAGAGTTCGCGTTATTACACATGTTTTTCTCGATGTGTTTAATATTCAAGTTGAAGCGGCCATCAAGTGTACTATATATAGTCTTGTTTTGACTGAGTGAGATGATGCAGCAATGGTTTACTGCTCTTTTGCGACAATGTGCGGGTCTTTGCGTGATTTAGGGCAATAATACAATTATTCCACTATCAATTTACTTTTGATTTCTTCATTCTCATGCATAACAACATCTATAATATATTTATCCCCTCCGAATTATTTTCGAAGTTAGATGTAATGGCCATCTTTATCAGAATCTCGCCTTGGGCAACAAAAAAGTTTGGCACGTCCCGGGGTGCAGTGTAACCAGAAGTAGGGAAGAAATTGTTTGTTCTCAAGAAAAAATATTCCCGAAAGATGTCATTTTTACAAAGCGGAACACGGAGCCAGCATTTGAAATTTAAAATAATAATCATCCACTAAATATTTTGGCAAGTCTGTGAGAATAAACGTTTCCAGACTACAAAAGAATAGCGGATCAAGGCTACAATAGCAATACCAAACTGTAAGATTCATGGCCTACAAAACATCGTGGTTTGATCCACATCGGTGCATGTTTGTCATGAGCTATGTTTCAAACAATATTATAAAAAATATTAATACCTAATAAGGAAACTAGGGGGCCCTATTATGAACATCTTCCGATTATCACCAGTGCTTGTTTCAGCTCCCCATTTTACAAATACCTATGTTATGGTTTCGAGCTTGAACGCTAAAAACCTTTTTGCTGTCATAACTAAGGAGACAAATGACTATGTGCCATCGAATTGGCACAATGGTCGTGCATGACATCGTCTTCAGTAATCAAGATATTGTTTTCATTTATAATTTTAGAAAGCAGATGTTGATGAAGAAATGCAGTACTTGAGCGCTGTACAATGCATCATTGCATTCGCGACTTGGTTTGGTAAGAGACTGAAGAAAGCCAACAATTCTGTGGTAAGAAAACATATATTTCATCATTCGTTATGAAGCTGTACCAATGACCAAACATATTTTGGCATGAACGTAGATGGGTTTCTCGTCGATAATGATTATAAGATCTAGCTATTATATGAAAGTTCGACATGAAAAATTAATGATGGTGCTTTTTAGCGTTCGTCCAAAATCCCGAACCCATAGTTTATTTTGCCTGAATCTCGCGTGTTCTATTTTTTTAAAAATTATATTACTCTTTATCAGTTTTAGGATCAGATACGGGCGTTTGCAAATTTTTAATCTTAAACTTTTTCATTTCTAGGGCTTGCCATGTTTCTTCAGATATAAGGCCAAAGATTCGTCATCGGACCAGACTTGCGATTACGAGCCTAATGAGAAGGTAGGATATATTATATTCATTAACCATATATTAATTGATTACATTGTAGATATAAAAGACTAAAATATTTATATATTATCTACGTCTCTTTTAAAAGAAATCTTCACTTTTTTGTATTTATTTTTTAGAAGAATGGAAGATGGTATAGAAAACAGAAGAGAAGAAACTATGGAGAGAAATATGTTAAAGATAACATCAACAAGGAAGCTGTCAGATCTACTTTGGCTAAAATATTTTCCAGCCTGAAGGTAGAGTAGAATACAATTCAACTCCTGTTTGCGTGTGTGTCTCAACTAATGTGACTCCGTATTGCAGAGATTGTGGTTCAATGCATAATTCCCAATAGTAGTAAAATATATTAGACAGTCAAAGCTGTGTTGACTAACTTCCTTTTTTTATAAATATGATACTACTCTGCTGTAAGTGTATAACCCCATTCGGGAAGAGAGAATAGTAGCAACAGAACTCATTTTATTAATTAAGAAACACAATGAAAATAAATAGTTGTTCTTGTCTATAGTTACAATTAGGTTAATGTAATATGTTTTTCACAGAAGAAAAAGAAGATGAATGATAACATGAAAGGAGCGGAGAACCGCGACAAAAAGCATGGAAGGTCACTAAGAGCTATGATGGAAGTAAGAATTTTCTCATTACTTTATTATTATTAATTATATAAAATAGGGATGTATTTTCAAATTAGGAATACATAATCTATGTATTGAATCGGATCGAATTGTTTTCAACTACAATCTCTATAACAGATTATTACATCATGCTTCCCAAAGAGCGACAAACTGTATAAGATGAAAAACAAAACAATGAACGGTGCATGTGACAGTGGGGGTGGTGGAACAACCTGCCTCCCACGAACACCTTCACCAGTAAAGATGAAAAACAAAACAATGAACGATGCATGTGACAGTGGGGTTGGTGGAACAACCTGCTCCCCACGCACACCCTCGCCTCCAAAAGTAAAGTATAGTTTGTAACTATTAAGCAGATACTCGAGTCATTGACTCTAAGTGACTCGATTCTTACCCAATTAGCCACGCTACGACGATTATATCCCATAAGATTTAAGTCCGCGCCAACCCTTATTATGTTGCTCAAATAGTCAAAACGCGATATATAAGTAAATCACAGTTTGAGTTTTAAAAATGTTGACTTTAACCCAAGATGGAATTTTCAAATGTCAGTATGATTCATGTTTATTGAATTCGTTGTTGTTCATGAAATATACAATGTCTCAAACTTGACTTGTGTCTCGAAATAGCAAGAGTCTCAGCTCGACTTAACCCTGTTGAGGGAGGACTCGAATTTGAAGCTGACAACAGTACTTGGCACCCCAATGCGGATGACCCACGGCCGTGACTGACTTCACTCGCGATATGAAGTCTCGTATTCAACACCCTTTAGGTCTTATGAAATATATATTATGCTAGTTTTTGACCACATTCTTTGACGTCGACAATTCAATTAATTCTGAATTCATTATTGAAATTGACGTTTATTATCACAGACATATATTCCATTGCTAAGTATTTACCCAGTAATGATATTTTGTTTCTATTCATAGTCTACGGATTCTGGCAAGTTGGTGTCTGCAGCTGATGATGGACCTGGTGATGATCGAGATGGACATAAGAAATCTGATGGAGATGAGAAATTGTCTGTTGGAAGCAAAGTAATTTAATTTTATTTTACGCATTGAATGTTTATGAAATTTGAATGAAAATTTTTAATCTCTTATGATGCGGAAATGACACCAAGAGATTGGAGTTCTGGTCATAAAATTGGAATCATTGTAACATTTATGATCGAATAAAACAATATGATTGCAAATAGCAATATCAGTATGTATTTTTACACAGAACTCAGAAAGGAATGAAGATGAGAATGCAGCGTATGACGATGATTTTTTCGATTCGTTTGATGATTCGATTTCTGCGGTATTGATTTTATTACTTTGCTAATATCTTATATATTAATCATTACTTTGATAAACATCTTTGTACTATTATTTATGTTAATCTATTCACTACATGCACATTCCAGGATTTCAGTGACTTCGTTACCGATGTGATTGATATTGCTCAAGGGAACATCAATCCCAAAGTACGCATTATTATATTTCATGCATTATAGTCAATAGAATATATTAAATTAACATTATAAACTTTGTATTTTCAACACAGATCGAATCTGGCAACAGCAGTGATGCATCTTCGATTGCGAAGGTATTTATTATATTCAATCTTTTTCATTTGATCATAATTTATTTAGTAACTCTAGTTGCAGGTTCAAATTGAGTCGGTTCATTAACCCAGTTAGTTCTGTGTGTCATTGCATGGCCACCATGTTACCAAAAATGAAATATACTGGGCTTTTGCTGGAACAATGTTTCTATCTTTATTTATTTTCTATTGCAGAATATCAACGACTTTGTTGCGGAAGCAATTGGCAGCGCAAAAGAGAATATCAATAAGGAAGTAAGTTTAATACGAGCAATATATCTCCGAAGTAGACCAGTTGAACCAACCAACGCGTTTTTGGCCATGTCTATTCGAAAAATATGAAAATAAAATTGCACACGGAACACATTCAGTAGTTTGATATATATTAAACCAATTCACTATCATCCTTATACATTTATTTATCCATTCATCAGGAAGAAGAGAAGCGTAAGAGAGAAGAATTTTTGCAATCAATGAGACTTGCCATGGAATTGGTGAGTATAATACCAATAATTCGGATATTATTTAAATAACATTCTTACACAGGATCATACTGTTATATATCAAATTTTCGGAATTTATGGAACAGGAATTTATGAGGTGTTAAAGCATCAATACTTGGAATGCGCAAAGAAATTTAATATTCATTAAAATTTAATGTGATATCTGGCAAAAGTTTTCTTTCAGAACCGAATTTTCTAACTTACGATATTATTCACTACTCTCGAAAGAAATACCAATTTATTTTCAGAGAGAAATTGCTGGTGAAATGGCCTTCAATGCAATCTGTGGAGCAATTGTTCAACTGGAACATGAGAAGGATGAGGTAAGTTATATAAGTTTTGGAAATGTTCCTTACACACGTTACAAATTTAACTGAAACTGTACAGCAGAGTTACAAGCGTACATCGGAGAGTATCAGTTAAATAGTTAGGGTTCTGATTGAAAACAGACAAAGAAAAGTGGTCGCAGCCCAAAACTGAATCTTCTCTATAAATTGAATTAGATTTGAGCAAAAATTTATTTATATCAAATTTTCAGAATGTTGGTGATGACAATGTGATGAATATTTTGTCTGGATACACTGCATCAGTAGAGAAGAATCGTACCGAGGTTCTATTTTATAGTTCTAGCCTGTTTACTTTAAACAAAAAATGGCGATCATTAATTCGTATTGAATTCTTGCAATAATTACATTTCAGATATTTATCCAAATGAATTTTAATTTTTACAATTTGAAATAACACGCTAACATTTTGTATTGAAATAATTATAACAAAGTCAAGTTTGTGATTTATTTTTTGTAGACCTATTGATGGATTATAATGTTTTTGCAGAAAATGTGCAGAGGAATTGCCCAGTCCGTGGTTCTGGATACGATGGATATTATTCGCAGAAAGGAAGAGGAGAAGGTATGAAGGATTTAGGAAATGTATCAATTTTTTTGTAGCTGCTTTCGATTGAGGAACATGCCATTGCACAATTAAGGTGGACTATGAAAATGAAATGAATTAGGCAAAGATACCTCGGGTATTATGGAGTTAACAAAGTTGTTGTTTTTACGGTTATTATTGTTGTTGAAAAATCGCTTTTCTTCACCCAAATCAATTTGTCAGTATATTGAAGATAGAAGCCAGTGGCAATTACAGTAGTTGTTTTTTAAATTATGGTGGAATCCGATATTTTTTCAAGAAAATTATTTAATCCTAATTGAAGGGGATCAATTTCTATTGCATACCACCACTTGCCCGTTAATCATTTCAGCAAACAAAGTGTTCTCGTGAATAACCGTATCGGTACCGATGCAATATTCGGGTCACTATATTTAAGCATATCTCTCTTGTTTTATTCAAAGCATTAGATGTTTTTTGGATACTGGTTCACTATTACTCGAATTTGACTTAACGTAATTATTATTATTAAAGCGTGAAATCACATCCATTCTTCAAAAATACAAGAAAAAGGTTCCAGAACCGATTTCACTTCTACCTTCAACATCCGAAATGGTAAACATATTGAATACTGTTTTGTTTCACTTTTTTCCCATTGTATCATTATTAGATTTACATTCTGAGCTCTAAGGCCACTAGTGAGCAGTACTCTTTCAAAGATTAATACCTTCTTTAAAGACACATTGATGGTTTGAAATTATATTAACTACTGTTAACTATGCAAGACTTTTTTTTATCCAAGAAACTGATATTTTATAAAAATATTATGAAAATTTGCATATTTTGAAAAAATAAAAAAATATAGGACAAGTAACTGGTAACTGATAATTACATAAATAGTATAATAGCATATACTAGTAAAGCATATAATAGTTTATTTATTGTTCAATTTTCAAGATTCCAGTCGCAAAGACGGTACAACCATTTGTTGCAGCCATCAGGATAGAACGTAAGTTTTATTATGTTGTATTTATTAACATAATTTCTTTCAAATCTGAATATATTTTTGTTTGGATATTTATTGTGATAATGATCTAATGTAGCCTACATAGATTTTATTCGAAAAAGTTGTGACTTACATATTTTAATAATATAATTTCTATGTTTAGCTGAATTTTCTGGAACTTTTGCGGAGTTTTCAGCTCCGTTTCCAACTTCCAACATCAATCTTCGAAAGACAAGAAAACGTGCGGTTTTCACACCTCAAATGCAGGTTATTACCCGCGAAGAAGAGGAAGAGTTGCTGAGAAAGGCAACTGGAAAATGTGAGATTTACTTCTTTATGCCAATATAGAAATAATTTAATAACTTTTTCAGACAAAGTGTATTATTGCATAGACAGTATTTATTGTTAAAATGAATATAATCAAATCGGAATAAAAATTTTCTAATTCTAGGTCCTCCCAGTAAGGACAGAGAGCGGCAATAATTCAGGATATTGTATACGACAGCACGTCGAACTTTGATTGTGCTAGTCGTGATTATTTTAAAAATTTATTTTGTTATATTTTGTATATTTTTGTACGGCAATACTCCCAACATTCTAACGTCATAAATTGTTAATAAATTCATTTTTTCATGTACATTTTATAAAAGTTTACCCCATATGCACTGCCCTTTGCCATGAAAGTGATAAAACGTATTAGTTTTATCGAAGTTACCAATCACGGTTATATCTTTATTTACCTTGAATTTTGATATATTCGCATAACAAAAATGTTTAGCAAAGATGGTATGACAACAGAACTCAACATTTTTTGGCTTGTTTGGTTCCAGTTATCTATGATCCTCACCTATCACTGTGCTTCAGAATTAGTTACACGTCACATATGTGCGCTGTTTATGATTCTGAACAGTTAGAAGATTTCGAACAAGTTTAGTATTGGAAAAATCCCGTACAAATTTTATAGTGAACGAATAGATCTGAGTCGAAATAAATAAATGCAATCCCCGTGCCGTGACAAAATACATTACAAAACATTTTAAATTAGTAACTGGCCAAAGTTATAAAAATTAATTGTCGAACGAATAATGCAAAACATACTGCATTATTAAACGATCTTAACGTGAATATGTGATGCGGTATCCAAGTCCACTATATATAATCCAAACACAAATTATTTTGTGAATAGGATATTTACTTGGGGTGAGTACCTTTTGCTTTTTTAAGACATGTTCTTCAAGGTAAAAAATCAATTCTTAACTTGATGCATTATTAAGTCACCAGCGCATAAAGTACATTTTTTGTAGTTTTAGTCATAGATTATGCTTTGTTTGTCAGGCTGCCTAGCAGAGTCCCTCTTTCGTTCAAGATTTTTCTCTTACTTTAGATAATATTATTAGAATTTAAAACGATTCTCAAAAACCGGCCAGCGTGGGAGCTGAATCCAAATTTTTTGCATTCTGACAAAATCCAGTATAAACGTATTTGCTAAAATGATTGCAGTATTGTTCCGCGGTATGGATAACATGGTTGCTAGTCCATTCCTAATTTTGGAATATTTAGCTTATAATCATTTCAGACGCATGAGTGTAAATTGCGTAGCAGTTGCGAGAAATTACGTAAACCACTGAGTGATGTTGAGAGATTTATGTTTTCCAACATTTAGGTATTTATGCTGGAATAAAGGAATGTCGGTAAACGGTAAATTCATTTGACGAACCTTGGCCTCTCGCGAGCTTTAAACTGACGGGCCGGGTGTGGGGTTTGCTAGTTTGGTTAAAATGCAGTTACATGCAGAGACTCTTAGTAAAAGGAAAATCCGCATTGGGTTTAAAACACCATCCCTAACACTCCGTCATGCGGCTGAAAAAGTTAACTGAATGGCTGTTCCCATACCCGACCGGGACTTTAACCTGCGCGAGAGGCCATGGGCCCGTGGTTCGACATTTATTTAAGCCGTTTCATCCGTTCTTTTTTCGAGATTAATGTCTGAATGTGAAAAAATCAAAATCCCCCGACATCGCTGGTTGGTGCACCTAACCAATTGCACTGCTTCACCTTTTGTGTTTATGTATTCGGAATGATTCATTGGCTAGCTATGCTCACGGAAGGAGTTGACGATTTTGGTAATCGCGGTATCTCTGCCGCGATTAAACAAGAAAAATGTAGTACCGATTAAATGACTTTAGTGATGGCTCGACCTAATATTTCAAACCAGTCCACTCACCTTGAGGAATGTGATAGAGGCTCGTCCCTGGTCGATCTTCGCCAAATTGAGACTCCATTATCTATAACACAGGAATTAGATGAATAGGATTTTGAGGTTGGTGACTTAGCCCCAGAGTATGGGATGCCATCTTGTACATAGGTAGCAAAATGGTATAAAGTTCACAGTGTATATATATGGGACTATTATGCCTATTCTGAATATTTAGTGTTTTATTGGAAATAATTTTTTCAGCTTTGCCTTTCTATAAATTGTAAATTTCAAGATGCTCGGAATGACTTATGAGTGTCCGCTTTTTGGACAAGTTAAAAGTATTGCAGAATAGAATTAGCCCATGCATTTGAAATTCTATTCCTATGTTCACGAAAATATATTTCCTTGATCATTCACAACAATTTTCCTTAGCTCACTGATTTATTATTCATTCAAATCGGAGATTTCATTAATTAATAAAAAAAAATTAGAAAGTTGGGAGAAAAATTGACAGTCAGAAAATGATACAACAACGTGGTGCTCTTCAACGCAACAGAATTTCATATTTCAAACACCAAAATGACCAAAAAAATCTCTCATATGTCAAACAAAACATGTTCAAAGCAACACGGTGGATTCATTGAGGATCATAGATAACTGTACCATGCGTTGGAATTTTGCGTGTGCAATCGATAAACACGAATTCATATTTAACGAATGAGTAAGCCAATTTCATGGATACATGACCGGCTACTTACTCAGAAGGTGTGTGGACATTCTGTTGTCGTACCATTTCAGAACACAATTCCAATTTGTTAATATTGAAGGCCTTAAATATAATATTTATATAGTAATACATTAATTAAATAAATCATTAACTATAGTATTCATTTTAAATAGAAAAAGGACTTGTTGGGAATATTGCCTTACATATTATTTTTGTTGATATTTTTTTTATTTCAATGTCTTTGTAAAAAGTGCATTTCAGATATTTTAATGGTCCACCAAACTGCCAAATTGATTTCATTAATTCGGATTAATGCAAAACATGATCTTTAGATAGATCGTAGTACACGAGGCGCCGCGTAAAGGCCACCGTTCCACAATCTCATAAAATATTGTTATAGAAACAGATAGCTAGTTATTGAAAGCATGTTTTATTGCTTAATCTGGAATATATATATTATTGAGTAACGTCGTTTCTCATTGTTATATATATAAAATCTTTGTTCTTACTTCTGCTGCACACAGATATGATTCGAAGATCCTATTCATGTTCAAATATTTCATATTTGAGATTTTTATGGTCTAATTTGTGTGTTTATATACCTAGCTTTTTAGTGTCATAGCCTTCAATATAAACAACATTGATAAATTTTGAACTCTGTTAAACTTTGATAATATTCAATACGTTTGTATGATTCTCGTAATGTGATTATTAAAAACTGTTTTTATTCAAATGTGTTTGTGCAATTTCTGACAGGGGATATTTTCTATTAAATACCTACATAGAACATAGTATAAAAGTAATCTACGGAAAATATATGATACCTTCGGGTAGAAAAGTTCGTTACAAATGACAGTAGAACAAATAGGCAACTGTCATAAATGGTAGATTTGTTATTCGCAAGATTTTCGACTAAACCAACGTACTTGAAATTTTTTTTTTCTGAAACACGAAGTTAAAGACTAAGATCTATGTGTTGAAGTCTAGTTTTCCAATATGCAGTTAGTTCGCGCCTTCAGATATGCGGCTTCTAAATAGTGAACAGCTCGAAGGAACAAGATGTGAACTGCATGCGTACTGTGCTAGAACTCCGATGTTTGTGAGAAGAGTACAGCCATCAGCTCCTTTTAATGTGTAATGGCCGATCGTGCTGTGTTTTAGGGTTGAGACAGGCTATACTGTGCATCATTAGTTTTATTTCGAAATTGTGCTGAAAGACAATTTAAAACAATAATTAGTGATGAGATAAGTGAGATTAAGTGTTATATAGTTGAATAGGCAAAGCAAAGTGCCTTTATCAGCGTTTTCAACTAAATTGTAAAAGAAATATACTGGAAGGCACTGATAATTATCACCAAGATGTAAGAAATGGTCCCTTATTGGACACGTTGTGGACATAGCGACCGTTTCAATATTATGTTGTTGTTGATGTTCTTGTTCTTTGACACGTTTTTAAAAAGTCGCTTTTCTCTTTGATTACTGGACCAATTGCTTTGAAATCAGTGGTTAAAAATTTTCATCAGAAGGCTATTACTTTTTTTGTTGTTTCTATGACGTCATCAAAATTATTGTCATTAGGTGGCGCTACGTGTCCATATATTTTGAGCATAGCTCTCTTGTTTTAATTATGGACTCTAGGTTGTTTTCTAGAATCTAGAATAGTGGTTCACAACCTTTTTTCTTCCGGAGCCCATTTTCGTTACACAAAATTCTCGTGGCCCACTAACTTTTATTTCAAGGCAAAAACTACAAGAAAAATCAGAATCGTTCTGCGAAATGGAACACTTCTCAAAATAATTAGAATGTAAATTACCATCCAGCAGCAGAAAACAGCATCACTAATCATTGGTACTATAATCAAAATTGAGGATAGTGATACAAAGAAAACTAGGAATAGTTCTGTGGCCCACCTCAAAATCTTTCTATGGCCCAGCAGTGGGCCATGACCCACTGGTTGATAACCAGTGATATAGAAAGTCTTTCGCAATATCTATTTCCCGTAGTCGTGCAAGTCTTGCGATACCATTTAATTTTATAAGGGCAATGGATTCATATTTGGTCAAATTACCTGATTTCTTATCCAAAATTTGATACCAATAAATATTTGCATTTATTATTTCTATGCTTTATAAAACGCGAGTCCCAAATATATTTAATTGAGCTAACTTGGCTGTCTATTCCGACCAATATTCTGGCATCCTTGTGTTCTCTCGCAGGTCGTTCTTTACTTTCTGTGTTTTTAGTGAGGTACTGCACCTCTGTCATTGAGCTCTGGAATTATTTGTAAGTTGATTTTTCATGTTTCTTTTTATTCATTCACCTAATATTTGGAGTGACGGTCATATAAAAAATAGATTATACCATGTGTAAACGCCGGAATAAGCTGTCCCATCGATGTCCATTACTGTTACAATGAAGTCAAAGCAACAAAGGTTGAATGGCCTAATTGGGATCGTTTAAGTATTTCTGGTGTTACCTCACATTGAATCACACAATATCACTTCATATTCCCAGTTATAACTTGCACGAAATTCAAAACTGATCCTGGGTACAGAAGTAAAAGAATGCGTTTAGGTTAGCTGGTTTGTTATGTGATCTAAATTATAGAACAGGCGTTCTAATCACTGATTCATCAGTTGTAGATGAGGTTGCAGAATGAACCGTAGTTTTTCTGATGTGAAAAATATTTACCATAAACAATTTACCATAAATTAGATGGAAATAAAACGGCCCATACCGGGAGTGAATTCATGAAACCTGATGTATTTTCTTAGGTATATATTTCTTATCTGATAGTAGCCGAATATGTCGATTCTAAAAACCAGAAACTAAGATTATCCACGAAAACCAGCAATATTTGAAACAACCGCCCGATCGACGATTGCCACAAAAAGTAGAAAGAACACTTCCCTACTTTTATAGACGCTCATCAGAGCAAGAAAATCGACCACAGGCAACGCCCTACACAGAAGCGCTGCACTTGTTTGCCTCGGAACCGCCGGTATAGTTTCAACAATGCTGGATTAATCATTAGGCAAAATTAGCACGTGTTTAGGGCACCAAGGAACAGGGGACACCACATAAATTCCATAGACGACCTGCAATAGAATAATGATACCAAGCAGTGAAACTGATTGGCTCATAGCCTAAGTTCATATTTCACCATGATGAAAGATGGCATGTGGCCTTTGCATATTGCATAAAAAGGTACATCGCACGCGAAATTTACTGCGTCTCTTCATTAGTGCCTACGGAAGTATGTTTTACAAGTGATTTTTTGGTGGTGCGTACAATAAACAATATGGCTCGATTTTTTATTCATTCCGTCCTGATTTCTGGTTTCTATTTTTCTCTACTGCTGGAGTGGGCTTGCTTTTGATTTTTTTTCTCGACTGTTTTTATAATCACCCCATTTTATTATATTGATTTCACCCTGATTTTTCCGGATTCTATTTTTCTTGACTGCCCTGCTTTTGATTTTTTTTCAAGCTTTTCTCGACTGCTGTCAGATCTTATCTTGACCGTTGTTTCACTTTACTTGCTGATCCGGATCAATCGACGCTTTCCGATAATTTCACTCTGCCACCTAATTTACCGCTCCACCTGCTGATCCTAGTGGCTTCGGCTCTCTCTCTTCCATTGGCCAACTGGTCCTTCCCTACCTGTTGATCCTGTAACCCTAATAATGTCTCTGATTTCGGGTCCCTTGGTTCTAGACTTTTGGAGTGTGCTCTCGCTTGACCCCTTCGACTTTGGCTCCCTTTCTTGCTTCGGCCACTTGTCCCTGCGTTCCTGCCAGCTTGTTTCTTGACTTTTGGAGTGTCCTGCATGCTCTCGCTTGACCCCTTCGTTTTTGACTTTTGGAGTGTCCTGCATGTTTGTGCCTTATCACGAATTTTAAATTAAGCAGCTAAACGTGGAAGTTTGCATATCTGCAGTGGAATATAGTAAATATTACATAAGTAAAAAGCTGGGTAGTGGAGAGATTTCATAAAAATATTGCAGAGGAGGACACCGCTATAGACAGTGCCGTACTCAAAGCACCATATTCACTGATTATTGGTCGCGTTAGTAGGTTGTTCAAAATGAACATTTTTCCCTTCTTTAATGCCAAATTAAAGTTTTGATGGGCAGAATAGTTAAATACATGGCGCGATTCAACGAAATAAAAATGGTGTGATTCTAATAGACTTTAGAAACGAATAAATAAATTTTTTTGCTAGACGATAAACCCGTACTCAATATACACAAAAAGTTAATTTGGCGCCGATTTCCAAAATAAATTACAAATATTACCTATTAGAAAAGATCTTTTAGAGCAGTGGTATTCAACCGGGTATACTATACTACTATATACCAAGTCAGATCCCGGGTATACATATAACAATTGGTATACAGCTATAGTCTGATTTGAATAAATATCACGGCCCGTTTTTAGTTTATAAACGCGCATAAGTCACGTTCAACATCGGGACTAACTAAATCCATAAAGTGTTTGTCTGTTCAAGCCACGAATTCAGCGAGATAAATTACTTGAGCGAATAGAAAACATACTATGCAAAAAATAATTGTTAGCGGAAAATTATATTGAAAAGTATGCGCTACGTTATTCGCTAATTTCTAAGCAGAAGGCAAAGTCATAAATCAACGTCAATTTTGACGTAGTTTGTTAATATAGCACACATAATATCTTGCGACTCGACTACGACTTCTGTCCTTACTTCACTAAACAACTTTTTTCTAATTTATCATATTAAATAACCTTTGTTATTTGCGAGGTACATACGAAATAAATAAAAATTGAAAACTAAGTAACATGTAGTAATAGGTTCAAGAGCAATATTTTGATATATTAGATTGGGATCTTTCGTATAAAGCCCTCGACAATAATGCAAAAATGTGAGACTTGATAAAAACACCTAGGTCAAGTTTCAAATTTGTAACTATCTAGTTAGGGTCAAGAACAAATTGAAACTTTATCATTTACCTGCGCAATATATAGAGGGTTGTTCAAAAGATCTCTAGATTGAACCCAAATATGCAAATCATATTGAAAAATCAAAAGATTTCGATTACATACTTGCTCTGCTGACCAGACTCGATAGGCTTCCATCTCAATCAGTAATGAATACCAGACAAATGACGAGGCATTTATTTTGGTAAAATGATGTACTGCCTTTCTAACTTTCAATCAGTGTTGAAGAAAGCTGAAAATAAATATATTTTTAGTTCATTCTCAAATTAGCAGTGGCGTATATCGATGGTATGACAGCTATAGCTCCAACCATTGGCGACTTTGGATTGCGGCGCAAAAATAATAAAAAGTTGTAATCGTAAATTGCTACAATAACCTATTTATGCCTATCACGAATTCCAAATTAAGCAGCTAAACGTGGAAGTCCGCATATCTGCAGTGGAATAAAGCAAATTTTACATAAGTAAAAAGCTGGGTAAAGGAAAGATTTCGTAAAATTATTTCAGAGAACCTTCATCGAACCCCCGGATACAGCTCCCCCGAACCCTATGGGTACAATCGAACCCAAGTTAAGAAACATCGCTATAGACAGTGCCATACTCATTACACCATATTCACTGGTTATTGGTCCAGTTAGTGGGCTGTTCAGAATGAATATTCCGACCTTTTTCAATGCCAAATTACAGTATTGCAGACTACTTAAATCGATGGTGCGATTCTACAAAATGAAATGGCGTGGTTCTAATAGACTTTGCAATAAAAAAATATGAGCGCGCATTGGTGCTTAAACTGACGAAAAGAGAAACGAAGAAATACAATTTTTCTGCTATAAGATTATATACATAAAAAAAAAAATGCTCGCAGATTTTGCCCAAAAATTACAAATATTGCCTATTTGGAATAATTTTTTAGTATCGCTAATTTCTAAGCAAAAGCTATAGTTATAAATCGACGTCAATTTTCACGTTTTTTGTTACCAGTAATTTAGCACACATAATATCTTGTCACAAAAGTAAGACTTCTGTCATGATTTCACCAAACAACTTTTTTCTAATTTATATTATTAATCACAAATGGCAAACGAGAATATCGGTCGGAGACCGAAGACTTATCGATCGAAACAGCGGTTTCAATTCATGACTCTATAGTGACATCGCGTGTCCCATAACTTATTAATTAATTAATAACTCGCTAACTATACGACATCATTCATAATTCATCACAAAATCAATAGGCTTCTGGTCCGAGATATGATGAATGCACATGCAAAATTTGGAGCAGATTCAACCACGCCTTCGTGAGATATCGCGTGCATCTAACAGACAAACAGACAAATACCTATCAACATACTTACCGATCTAAAGATCGATAAGTATTTAAACAGCTAAACGTGGAAGTTTGAATATCGGTAGTGAAATATATTAAATTTTGAAATTATTTCAGAGGAACAGAGAAATTCAATCTTTCTGCCATAAGATAAGCTTATATATACTATACAAAAAAAGATAATTTGTCGAAGATTTCCTCAAAATATACAAATAGTGCCTATTTGGAATGACTTCTTAGTGCAGGGATATTCAACCAAGAATACAATATACCCAAGTGTATACTAAGTCAGATCCCGAGCATACAAATAACTATTGGTATAAGATGATTTTCAGCAAGGTTGGGCCGACCCGCGGGACGTAATTTGACCACCCCCTGTAGACAGCTATAGCCTAATCAAAATATATTTTCCGGCCAGTATTGTGTTTTTGAACGCGCACAGGCCACGTTAAACACCGAGATTTACCAATTTAACAATTAATTACTATGCAAAAAAATAATTGGCGAAAAGATATACAGAAAAGTCCACGGCTACGATATTCGCAAATTTCCGAGTACAAGCTATAGTTATAAATTTAGCACACATAGTATTTTGTGACCAGAGTAAGACTTCTATCATGACTTCACCAAACAAATTTTTCTACTTTATATTATTTTAGTACCTTTGCGAGTTATATACGGATAAAATAAAAATTGAACAGATGTAACATGTAGTAAAAGGTCGAAGAGCACTGTTTTAGCATATTAGATTGGAATATTTCGTAAGAAGCACTAGACAGACAATAATGCAAAAATAGAACGTAGTATGTATAAGGTTACGGTTTGGCCATAATTTTATGTACAAATACTAAGGGAGTCACTTGGCTAGTCCCCGAACTCATAATAAAATTAACATATACAAGGAAAATTGGAATAAAATTATAGTCTAACCTCAACCTGGTACACATATTACGTTCCGGTGTCCGCCATCATAGTACGCGTACTTAAAGAGTACGATTTGAAAATCGGAATTTTCAGCGGAATCTGCATTCCTAACCCGAACACTATCCAGAAAATTACTAATTCGTTATTTTGGGCGTTATTGGGGTTATTTTGTTTTCAACGAGGGGATTCGTACAAAATGTGCTAGATTGAACCTAAATATGCAAATTAAGCTAAAAGAATCAAAAGATTTTGATAACCTTTGCTGGTCAGACTCGACTGTTGCAGAACTTTAGCACTTCTAATGGCGGGAACGAGACTAAATCTAGCCACAATAGCTAAAATATAAAAGCAATGGTAAGTATATATAAATCCATGGATTTGAAAATGTAATGAAAGTGATGATCATGGCGTTCGAGTACTAGTATAGCATATATGATTGGTAAATGAATGTGATGTTACCGTATATTGCTAATTTTTAGATTGTCTCTGACTTGCAAGTCACCCGTTTACCCTTCAGCTTCAACGCCCACGTGAATGAAGGAAACTTTAGAAAACTCTGTTTGATTTTATTCTCAGATTTCCACGATACGCAGAATATAAATCTTATAACATTTATCCCTACTAGCTTTTTATTGAAAGATATCGAGTCGTATTTATACGTCGATCATAAATCCTATTAAATACTGTAAACGTGAGCTCGTGATTCACGTTATTACGCTATTATCTCAATAAGGGTAATTATGAACATCGTACGGATGGGAACTTAGGTATAATTATTTCAATCAGTGCCAAAGGTCTTGGGAATATAAATTTTAATTTGATAATGAATGGGTGGAACATGTTGTGTTCTTAAAACTGGTGTAATTTGATTCCTACGAAAGTCTTTGTTCAAATTTTGGGAAAAATTAACATTGTTTTGATGATTTCAACATGAAATTGCGTACATTTGGGGGTTAGTTGCTATACTAGTATACGTGGGGAGTGCACCGACGCGATGATCTCGAAAATATCCAAGACCTGGCGGATGAAACAGCAGAGCTATTCTATCAACTTTTCTATTTTTCACTAACTCGTCAATTTAGAATGAATCTTAGATTGGGTTACTTTTGTATTCCCCTTTAAAAGTAAAATGAGATTTCCCCTTATATCAACAAGATTTTAAAACAAGTTTATAAAAAACAATACGGACAAACATTGAGATAGTGGGCAACAGCATTGCGCTGGGCCCCATTAATTGATCTTTTATACAATCAAAAGAGAAAGCAGTAGAAAGTAGAAACATTAGTTTTAATTAAGCTCACCTGAATATTGTTCCGAAGAGACAACGTAATAAAGAGTTGAGACCGCATTCCATCATGTACGTTTGCTACTGGGGCGTTGTCGATGTGGCTTCCCGCGTGAAGAGTGGACGGAAACGCTAATTAGTAATCAAACGTTTTTAATCAGTCCCGTTATTTCCAGGTCAACTCTGGATCGCGACGAACCGACCACGCTTCTGACACCTTGATCACAAAATATACACAATGCAGATGACAGTCCGCATTTGCTTAATATTACTTGTGATTGTTTGAATGTCCAGTTTGCACTAATTTTTCCGTCCAAACAAAACGTTGGAGACATAACATTCATAGCAATATAATCGAGTTACATGTGAAAATCATATTTAATTTCTCAAGACAAGTGCAGACCGATGATAACAAATGACAAAGACTAGATATTTAGCGCAGAGCTATACAAACCGGGGTCTGGACGCTGCAGGTGGGGCGCAAAGTTGGGATTGCAAAGAATACTCGATTGTCACACACAGAGTACTACCGGTATATCTAATGTACATTTCATACTTCTGATTCAAAACACAACTATTAACACTAGTGAAACGTATAAATCTCACCATTTTGAAAAATTGCATAGGATCAGAGAAGCGCCGGGCTTGCTTCAAACTGTAAAAGTTTTGGAAGCACTGATTTAGCCAACTCTTATATCAGTGATTCGTAACCTTTTCGAGCCATACACAACAATAAATCCTTTAAAAATACACAACAATAAATCCTTTAAACATGTACAGACAGATTCACTATTTGGAAAAATATCAGTCCGACAAATATATGTAATCACTTTTTGCATTCTATATCAGTGAGACTTCTGCAGCTGCATTACCGCTGATACAGATTGGACATTGGGTTTATCATTTGTAACTTTCAAAGAAAAACACGTCATACTGGTTTCATGTTACTCGACTACTTCTGTTACGAGACTTGATAAAGTTCATAGCTGAGAACAGCGATCCACGAGCTTATGTAGAATAAAATACGGACAGTAATGCAGTTGCAAAGTTTTTAGGGCACGAAATATTTTCGGGAATGCCAACCATCCCAACAAGCAATAGTTCGTCTTTTGCATTTCTCTCTTGTATTCCCTTCCGTAATCGCTTATATTTATTTCCAAATTAATGTATAACAGTAAATTAGCAAGTAACTCTAACCAACATGAGCTGTGAAACTCCATATATCAAGCAGAAAAGGAGAAAAAGGATGTCACAGACGAACTATATATAGTATGTAGGAATGTAGCCAAATGAATGCTGCTGTGACTTACTGTTTCTAAATTTATACAACATCTTGGATTCAAATTTGCGCGGCTATATACTTTACGCTTTTTTACAGATTGAAACTATATCACTGAAAATACTGAAAATAAAACGAAAAACATCTGATAATAAACCAAAACCCCCTATAAATTTAGTCTTAGAAGTTGGTTATCACGCCAACATTTTTGTGGTAAATTTGATTCTATAAAATTTTTCAAGATATTTGGCATTTACCGCTTGCATAAAGTGGACTTCGTTTGCGAGATTGGAATTTTTAAAAGTCAACCCTGCCGAAATCGAATGCAAATTAGTATGTTCCGTTGATGACGTAGTACTGAGAACTTGTCGGCGTAATTTTGCATCAGGTCAGAGGCAATTATAGCTTTCTTTGTACTTATTTTGAACTGTATGCTAGTTCTATTGGGCGGTGCATTTGACAAGCGGTACAGTGGTTTAAATACATACCAGTATATTCAAATAATATTGCTGTATTATTAGAAATAACAGTACACTTAACAAATCGAGGTCAATATATACTCGATCTCTGTGCTGGACCTTTTGCTGTAACATATTTTCCAGTGAAATAATGCATAGCGGGGTATTTTCCGTCTCAAATCATCTACATTTTATGATTTATGTGAATTTATCTTGCTTTTCTGATTCTGTAACCAGTCCTTTTTGTTATATTTTCGGTATATATAGACTATAATAGAACTCGCATATATGATATATATATATATATTTACAGTACAGTATGTGCTTTTAAACATTACACTGCAGAATTCACAGTGATGTCCTGAAGCATGAAACAAGAAGAAAACTATGGATCATATTTTCTCATCTAACCTGTTCTGATGTCTCCACAAAACTAAAAGAAGACCTATAATCTGAAGGATCGTTTCAGGCTCAAAATTATGTTAAAGTCCATGCAAACTCTTGCCCACAGCCCAAAACAACATTACCACCTGACGCAGTTTATCAAGTCAAGTTTTTATTTATTTTTAACATTTTTTGGTCGATGACATTTCAGCAAGAGAATATAAGCTTTTATCATATGTAATTCATTTATGTTAATAAATGATTTTTCCACAAATCTCCATTAATTGATGTCTCGTGTTATAAATATGGCATTGACCTTAACGGGTGTGCTTTGTCATTCCAAACAAGCTTCTGTATAAATATATCCATTAATATGCAAGGGCCCACTTTATTTCTGGATGAACCCAAACGTTTTTTTTTTCATTCTGAAAATTGCACTGGATTGAATTGGGAATCTCATCTCTTCTTTAGTCATACTCCAACATCGTTCAACACAATATAGACCGCGAGACGACGCCGTTTATCTTTCAGTTTCGTAGCGCACATAAGGGAACTGTCTGAAAATGATTTTAAAATGCTCCTTAGAAATTCAGTAACAAATAATACTTTGTTTCCATTTCCAAAAGTTGAACGTTTTACAAAAAAAGACGCTTCCACTACAAGAGATATGTGTTACTATCTGTCCTATATTCTCTGCTTTTCCGGTAACAGTGGCCAATGAACACAGACTTCTGCATGACGTAACAAATAAAATTTGATCAGCTGTAGGTGGATTCCCGTGATCGGATAAATCTCATATATACTGATCGCTTTTGCGTTGAGGCGAGTATCCTTTCCATCGTCTTTTTCAGTTATTATCAGTCAAGTTATTCTGAGAAGGTGTTATAAAGCAGTGGTTCCCAACCTTTCTACCCTGGCGAGTCGGTAAAAATAATTAAATGTACTCGCGGACCGGCAAAAAATAATAACATATATTTGCGTAATATAATGCAATGTCGGGCACTCAATATGCTTCTAGCTAGACAAAAAAATATATACTTAAAAACATTTCACTTGAAGACTATCAAATAATATGCCGGCAAAAAATTGAAATGGGTGAAACATAAACTATAATACCATATATTTGCGTAATGAAATGCAGTGCTGGGCACCCATTAGCGTAGGAAAGACACACATATAACAGCTTACATGAAAAACATGTACAAACACAATTAACTCTAGCGAGAATTTTGCTACTGTTTCGTTTCCAATATAAGATTGCAAACGAGGCCTCAAAGAAGTTTCTGTAACAAGTAGCTCTGCAGCGGCGTACAGCAGTAATCAGTAGTTTATTTTATCACCACATTGACCACAGCCTTTTTCTTTGCTTCGTTTTAATTAAAGCTAGTGATGAAAATGTTTTTTTCGCATAACGCAGTAACTGGTTGAGAATACGGACAACAGTTTCATTGCTCGATTACTTAGCGATGGGTATTCGTTATCAAGAGATATCCAAAATTGTGACAGTGATTCTTTTTTAAATCTGGACTGTAAAATAGAATCACAACTTTAAGCAAGCTCTTTCTTTTTCATCGGGTTTATCATATTAATCCCTCTGTGGGTGATCGACGCCTCAAACGAAACGAATTTACATTACAATGAAAAGTCGTCGGTAACTTGGCACCAGGCTCAAAATCTTACTGTGCCCGCTCAAAATACTGGAGATGATCTCAGCGGCCCATGCTTTTTTGCGCGTCTCGTGACCACCTGCAGGGTCGCAATAAGTTAATACCTTATTGGAATATTATACTGTTTTTGACTGTTTTCTGGTTTAAACAAAGAAAAATGCATAACGTTTTATATGGATGGTCATATTAATCAGGAAAAGCATGCAGAACAGAAAAAGCACGCTTGCCGATTTTTAGGTTTCTGAATCTTGCGAGATTTGACGGAGCGCTTTCGCGATGAATCAACGATATTTTCATGCTTGTATGGAAAGTTTATAATTAATTTAATGACGATTCTTGACTATTCAGCAGACTTATACTATCATATAGGCTACAGCATATTATTTGATTCAGAAAATAATGGCTGTTTGTGTGAAAGTAACCAATTTTACTGATGTCAGTTGGTATTAATTTATATAATCGACAAGAATCTGGGCACCAATGATAAGATATGCAGGAGTTGAAAGAAATGAAGCGATTGAGAGGTGAGAAATCATGTATCAAGTTGTAGGCTGACAGTTGATGTTTCAAAATATACAGGGCAATTCAGACTGTGTGATTTATCGAGATTCAGTGTAGATATAGTCTAGTATGGAAACACTGCAGGACTGTAGTACATCAGATAAAATGGCAATGCATTATGTATGAGAAGTATTAGTCAGTATTTAGTGCTATTTTTATTTGTCGAAAAACACTTATGTTGTTCCAAATATGATTTTCTTCCTTATTTTTTTTAAAATACTGTGCTACAAACAAAAACGGCAATGTTCCATCAATCCAACCTAACGCAGGGTATCATCGCTGCTGCTATCAGCGCTATACTTGTGAGAATAAAATGGATCGAAGAAAAAGTCTTGAAGAAAACCGTCAAGGTGTATAAGAATCATATTCATAACAGTTGCGAACAGCATAGATGGGCTATGCATATTGAAATACTTTGGCATTCATTTGCGCATGAAACTACCAATCAAACTGATGTTGGAGGACTCAAAATCCATTGAGTTTTTTCTCAAATATGAAGATCTTTTGACGTTAACGAGGCATTAATAAATAAAGCTGAGGAATTTGTTTGTTCACTGTATGGAGAGGATATAAAGAATGTAAATGATACTAGGGCACGTCTTTTCAAAACTGGCAAATATATGGATTATACTTTTCCACCCAACAGTGATTTACTAAAGAAGCATGTTCTGAGGGCAAATTACCATGCAGAAATTCATCACTGTTGCCTAGGACCAAAGCCAAATATTTCACCACTTATTGGCCATGGATGGGTTCTTGATGATGGTGTATTACGGGTCAAATTGATGGATCTACTTCCAGCCCCCAAATCAGTTCTTGAGTTTGCGAACTGCAAGTGTAAGAAAAATAGGTGTCAAAATAATTTATGCACGTGTGCCAAAAACAATCTAATTTGCACAGAATTTTGTATCAACTGCAAAAACCACAGTACGCTTGTAGAGAAAAAGTCGATTTTCGAGAATAAGCATTTCGGAAGCAATTCAGAGGAAAGTGAATTAGATATTGAAGTTATTTAAATAAATATTATTTATTAGTTTTTTCTCAGACATCTGTTAGTATCGAAAGTTCTGTTTCTATAAATAATATTGCCTTTGTTACACAGCCACATAAACTGTAAAAAGACTAATTGCAATGTTTCTGTTCACTATGTTATGTACATACTGTATGTATTCATTTTATTTTCTTGACTTTTCCGTGTAAATTTATCAGTGAGAAATAGCCGATTCATTTGTGTTTTTGTGCTCAAAATGTTAATTTGTGAATTCATTGCATAAAAATAAATGCGTTTGATAGCTTCTATAAAATAAAAATGTATGTTGTACTTTGTTGTAAACTGCTTGTCTGAGGAAGTCTGATTTTGGTCAGACGAAACGTTTCAGGAATACATTTGTGTTAGTGCGCACCAGGACTCTTGAATTGCATAGTTTTTATGCTGTGTTGTTATAAACCTATGGATATTGATTTTCTGGGAATCCCCTTATATATTATGCAATTTTGCATCAGGATTTTAACCGATTTACTTGTGTTTTTGTGCTCACGATGTTAATTTGTGACTTTATCGCATAAAATTGATGCGTTTGATGGCTTCTATAAAATGAATGCAACCTTTCATGCCGTGTCGTTGTATACCTATGGTCATTGATATTCGGGGAATCTCCTTAAATCTAATTTTTGCATCAGGATTTTTGAAGCATGTTTTATAGAAAATGTGCTACTTTCGTTAGTAGGAACAAGCTGTAATGCGTTCAGTATGTTCATTTTCATACAAAACTAAAGAATTTATATAGTTTCCAGATGTGCGCTACGAAACTCGCTTTCTAGGCGTGATTCAGGGCCTCGTCTCACGGCCTGATATGATCAGCTCAAAGTGTACTTTTGATGACAGCTGGGCTGTGCTGTTATTATCAGTGTGAACTGGAAAACATGAAGTATACAAATTAAATAATTAGCATACACGAGTTCAGAAGGATATCACCAGACAGATTAGTGATGTTCAGCATAATGTGAAATGAATAAAAAACTAAACCATTATCAGGATTCTACGTTTATCTGGTATCACGTATCACTCTCTGGGTGAATGAACCGACAGACGCTCAAGTTGCAACTTTAACAGTGTGTAAAGTTGGCTTATATAACAGTGTGACTTGATAGCATCATACTTTGGACTGGATATTACATTGCAGAGCAAGACAAAAAGTGGTAAAAACTCACGCTACAATCAGTTCCGGTACGTTCATTAGATAAAACGTCATTACTTGTTTCCCTTACAGTCAGAGCTTCCTGTGCATTAGCATTTCTGTTTTACATTGCATTAGTGTTTCAATCTTTATGAAACTACGCAATGAGAAACTAGAATTAAATGCCAAAAACAGAGGATAAACATTCTACTCGCGAATGCGCGATAAAGGCAGATCTGGAATAAGTTCTTAGAAATACGTCATCGAAGGCCTTTTTCGAACTGCTGTAGATTTTCGTTGGAGCGGTTGAAAATTTCATAAATAGAAAACTAAGTCCACCTTATGTAAACAGTAAGCGTCGAAAATTCTGATTTTACTACATAGACCTACATTTAAAGCTATCCCGGCTGTCTTCATTGATCATATTGTCATCGAGAGTTCATGAGCATATTCTCTGTCCAAATATCGGGTACAGTTCGAAAAATAGATAGGAATTGACCTTAACGATACCGGTACAAATAATTCGAATTTAGACCAAAAAGTATTGGTTTTACATGCGATACGTTTGCTAACAATGGTAGCGGTAAACAAACGCAATAACGCACCCACCTTCAGTAAGTAGGCTAGCGCCTCTCTACACAGAAATGAGAACATGTTTGTGTATTATGCTGGATGACTGAACGCCAAAGCGAGACTTTTGGCTGACTTGTCGGGACGGCGGGACAAGACGCTAAAAAGCGGGACTGTCCCGCCTAAAGCGGGATGTATAGTGAGCCTAGTGATAAGAGCCACGCGAAAAGTAAAACATTCTACAGCAGGCACTAAATACGAAACGCAGTAAATTGCGCGTGCTATGTAGGCCTACCTTTTTATTTAGTATGAAACTAAGTCGAGGCCACACGCCATCTTTAATCATAGTGAAATATAAGCTAATCAATGTAAGGTAGGCTATGACCAATCAGTTTCCTATTCTACTAAAATTAATGTACTGCTTAGTATCATATTGCAGGTCGTCTATAAAAATAGCTGTGGTGTCCTAAGCACGTGCATATTTTCCCCAATGAAAAATCCAGCACTGTTGGACTTTCAACAGGATACAGGCGGTTTCGATGCACACAAGCGCGGTGCTCCGCTGTAGAGCGTTGCCTGTTGTCGATTTTCTTGCTTTGATGGGCGTCTATAAAAGTAGGGAAGTGTTCTTTCTACTTTTTGAGTCAACAATCGTCGATCGGGCGGTTGTTTTTGAGGTGAAATATTGCCTGTTTTCGTGGGAAATCTTAGTTTTTGGGTTTTAGAGTCGAAATATTCGGCTACTATCAGATGAGAAATATATAACTAAGAAAATACATCAGGTATCATGACTTTACACACGGTATGGGTAACGGTATATCTAACTAATTTATGATAAAGTGCTATGTGCAAAATAAAATCATTTTACATCACAAAAACTCCGGTTCATTCTACAACTGATGAGCCAGTAACAGCAGTAATGAGAACACTTCCACTATAATTTAGGTCACATAACAAACCAGCTAACCTAAACGTACTTTTGTCCCCTGTACCCGGGTAAATAAATAGCTAAATACAAAATAACAAACATGAAAAATGAATTTACAAATAAAACATTCCTGAGCTCAAAAGTGCACTAACTAAAACACAGAAAGAAAAGAGCGACCTGCGGGAAAACTCACGGATGCCAGATTATTAGTCGAAATAGACAGCCAAGTTGACTCAATCAAATATATTTGGGACTCGCGTGGTATAAAGCATGCGAATAATACATGCAATTATGTATTGTTATTAAATTTTGGATAAGAAATCAGTTTTTTTTAACCAAATAGGAATCTGCGCTTATAAAATCAAACGCTATCGCGAGACTGGCACGACTACGGAAATAGATATTGCGAAATACTTTCTAGAACACAACCTAGTGTCTATGTTTAAAATCAGGGAACATTTCTTACATTTTTGTCATAATTTCCAGTGCCATTTGGTATATTTCTTTCACAGTTCGGTGGAAAAAGTTGATAACGGTACTTCGTTTTGTTTCCTAATTCAACTTTAAAACAATTAATCTCATAATTATTGCCTTCTCGTTTTAAATTGTCTTTCAGCTCGATTTTGAAATTAAACTAACGCTGCCGAGTATAGCCTTAACATACAGCACGATCGTCCAGCAGACATTAGCTGATGGCTGTATTCTTCTCACGAACCTCGAAGGTATAGAACATCACGCATGCAGCTTATATCTTGTTCCCCCAAGCTGTTCTCTATTTGGAAGCCACATATCTGAAGGTGGGAACTAACTGCGTATTGGAAAACTAGATTTTCAAGGCATAGATCTTAGTCGTTAACTTCCGTGTTTCAGAAAAAAGTTTTTTACTTTTTTGAATTACGTTGGTTTAGTCAAGCAACTTTAAAACGAATAACAAATCTATCATTCATGACAGTTGCCTATTTGTTCCACTGTCATTTGTAACAAACTTTTCGACGAGAACGTATTGTATATTTTCCGTAGACTACTTTTCATACTATGTTCTATGTAGGTTATTTAGTCGAAAATATCCCCCGCCACAAATTGCACAAACACGTTTGAATAAAATCAGTTTTTAATAATCACATTACGAGAAATAGATAGAAGTATTGAATATTATTAAAATTTAAGAGTTCAAAATTTTTCAATGTTGTTTATATTGAAGGGTATAGCACTAAAAAGGTAATATAAACACACAAATTAGACTCTAAAAATCCCCATCATGATATAAATATATATTTATATGATATATATTTAAACATGAATAGAATATTCGAATCATGTCTGTGCGCAGCAAAAGTGAGAACGAAGTTTCTTCATATATATATTCCAGATTAGGCAATAAAAAATGCTGTCAATAACAATAATCTTTTATTAGATCGTGAAATGGTGGCCTTCACGTCTCGTGTCTCACGATCTATCGAAAGACCATGTTTTGCATTAATCCGAATCAATGATAGCAAGTTTGTAGTTCACCATTAAAAATTTGATATACACTTTTTACAAAAACAATAAAATAATAAGATATCAAGAAACAATAATATGTAAGGCAATATTCCCAACAAGTCCCTATTTATATTTAAAATTAATGCTATCGTTAATGATTTCTTTAATTAATATATTTCTATATAAATATTATTTTTAGGGTCTTTAATATCAACAAATTGAGATTATATATACTGTATATCCCAAAATGGTATGACAGCAGAATGTCCACACATCGTCTAAGTAAATAGCGGATCATGAATACGTGAAATCGGCTTACTCATTCGCTAAAAGAGAATTCGTGATTATAGTTTGCACTCACAAAATCTCAATGCATGTACAGTTATCTATGATCCTCAATGAATCCACCGTGCTTCTGCGAACACGTTTTGCTACAAATATGACAGAATTTTTTGGTCATTTTGGTGTCTGAACTATGAACTTATTTTGCAATGAAGAACCTTATGTTGTTGTATCATTTTCTGAATATCAATTTTTTTCCACATTTTTTTGCATAATAAAATCTCTGATTTGATATAGTATAAATTTAATAGAACTACATTTATATTATATATTATTAATATACATAAATATGTGATAAATAGGTACTAATAAATCAGTGAGCCAATAAAAATTATTGTGAATGATCAAGGAAATATATTGTTCACAAATATATAAGAATAAGAATTTTCCAATAATCCGGATAATTTTCAAATGCCTTGCATAATTCTATTCCGCAATAAGTCTAATTTCAACTTGTCCTGAAAAATCGGAAACTTCCAAGTCATTCCGAGCAGTTTGAAATTTACAAACTATAGAAAGGCAAACCCCGAAAAATATTACACTATAAAACGCCAAATATTCAGGATAAGTTTAATAGTCCCATATATACATAAACTGTGAACTTTATATCATTTTGGTATCTATGTACAAACAATTTGGAATCTCATTCGCTAGAGCCAAGTCAATCCAATTCATCTAATTCCTGTGTTATAAATAATGTACTCTCAATTTAATGAAGACAAAGCCTGTACCATATTAGTCAAGCTGAGTGAACTGGTTTGAACTATCAAGTCAAGTTATCACTAAAGTCACTTTATCGGTACTAGAATCTTCTTGTTTAACCGCGGCAGGGATACCGCAAATACCAGCCAACTCCTGGCGTGGGAAAAGCTAGCCTAGGAATCATTCCAAATACATAAACACAAAAGGTGAAGCAGTGCAATTGGTTAAGTGCACCAACCAGCGATGTCGGAAGATTTCGATTTTTTGCATTCAGACATTAATTTCGGGAAAAGAAAGCCGATGAAACGACTCTATTGTATGTCGAACCACGGGCCCATGGCCTCTCGCGCAGTTAACAGTCCCGGTCGGGTATGAGAATAGCCAAGTGGTTAAATTTGTCAGCCGCATGGTGCAGTGTGGTGGATGGTGTTTCAAACTCAATGTCATTTGTCTTATTACAAGGAGTCTCCTTACGAGAATAGTTCCGAACTGCATTTTACCCAAACTAGCAAACCCCACACCCGACCCGGGAGTTTAAAGCCAGCGAGAGGCCAAGGTTCGTCAAATGAATATAACGTTTACCGGCTTTCCTTCATACCAGAATGAATCTCTTAATGGTAAAAACATAAATCTCTCAACCTCACTCAGTGGTTTACATAATTTCTCACAAGTGATCCGCAATTTACACTCATGCGTCTGAAACGATTATCAGCTGAATATTTCCAATTCAGGAGTGGACTGTTATAGCCATCTTATCCATCCACGGGATAAACAAGATCATTCCAGTAGAGAAATACCATCTTAACGCTATGGCCGCATCCACAATCATTTTAACAAAAACTTACATCCTGGATATTACCAGAATACCAAAACTCAAGATTCACTTTCCTCGCTTGCCGGTTTTTGACAATCGTTCGAAGTTACTACTACTACTAATATCCAAAGTAAGACATATCTCTAAACGAACGGGACTTTGCTAAACTGCCTGGACAACAAGGCATAGTCTGACTACAAAACTAGAACAAATGTACTTTATTCGCTGGTGACGGCATTTCCGATAATGCCTCAAGAATTGGTTTCTATGGCACTTTTTATTCTACCTCGTAGAACGGATTTTAAAAGGACAAATAGTACACACTCCAAGAAAATATCCTATTCATAAAATAGAAATATGTGTTTAGATTATACATAGTGGACTAGGACGCCACATCACATATTCACGTTAACATCGTTTGAAAATACAGTATGTTTTACATTATCCGCCTGAAATTTAATTCTTATAACTAACATCAGTTCTCATTTATAAAATATTATTTGATTTTGTCACAACACGGGAATTTAATTGTCGTGTTTATTTATTTCCGACTTTAATCTATTCGTTGACTATAAAATTTGTAAAAAATATTTGCCATGATAAACCTGTTTAAAATGCTCTGACTGTTATAAAGAATCATAAAAAACGCACATATGCGACGTGTAACCAATTCTGGGGCGCACTGGTGGGTGAGGATCATAGATAACTGTAACAAAGCAACCAAAAATGTTGAGTTGTATTGTCATACCGTCTCAGATAAACATTTTTTTCTTATGTGAAAATATCAAAATTCTAGGTAAATAAAAATATAACCGTGATTGGGAGCTTCGATAAAACTAATACGTTTTATCACTTTCAAAAGGCAAATGACGGGTCAGATGGGGTAAATCTTTTTGAAAAATTACATAAAAAATATAAACAACTTATAACGTTAGGATGTTGGGAATATTGCCGTACAAAAAATACATAAAACATAACAAAATAAATTTTTAAAATAATCACGACTAGCACAATCAAAATTCGACGTGCCGCCGTATATAATATCCTGGATTATTGCCGCTTTCTGTCCTTACTGGGAGGACCTAGAATTAGAAAAATATTTCTTTCGATTTGGTTAAATTTAATTTTGATAATAAAAGCTAGCTATAATACACTTTGTCTGAAAGTATTTAGAATAAAGAAGTAAATCTCACATTTTCCAGTTGCCTTTCTCAGCAACTCCTCCTCTTCTTCGCGGGTAATAACCTGCATTTGAGGTTTGAAAGCCACTCGTTTCCTTGTCTTTCGAACATTGGTGTTGGAAGTTGGAAACGGAGCTGAAAACTCCGCAAAAGTTCCAGAGAATTCAGCTAAACATAGAATTTATATTATTGAAGCATGTAATTCACAACTTTTTCAAATAAGAAATATGTACGCCACTTTAGAACATTACCACAATAAATATCCGAACAAAAACATATTTAGATTTGAAATGAATTATGTTAAAAAAAAACATAATAAAACTTACGTTCTATCCTGGTGGCTGCAACAAATGGTTGTACCGTCTTTGCAATTGGAATCTTAAACAATTAATAAACTATTATATGGTTGATATTTGAATTGTTTATTGAGATCAGTTACTAGTTACTTGTTCTTTATTTTTTTCAAAATATGCAAATTTCCAGAATACTTTTTATAAAATAACAGTTTTTTAAATAAAAAAGTCTTGCATAGTTAACAATAGGTAATATAATTTCAAACCATCAAAGTGTCTTTAAAGAAGGTATTAATCTCTGAAAGAGAGTTCACTTGAAGCATTAGAATGTGAATCTAATAATGATACAATGTGAAAAAATGAAACAAAAATGTATTCAATTAGTTTACCAATTCGGATGTTGAAGGCAGAAGTAAATCCTGTTCTGGGGCCTTTTTCTTGTATTTTTGAAGAATGGAAGTGATTTCACGCTTTAATAATAATTAAATTAAGTCAAATTGAAGTGATATTGAACCATAACTTTCAGATATGCTTAAATATGGGGACACGAATATCGCAACGGTACCGCTATGGTGAGTCTCTAGAACACTGTGTTTCTAGAAATTATTGGGGATCCCCTTCAATGAAGATTAAACATTTTTTTGTGAAAGATCGAGAAAATAGCTTTAATAGCCTTCCATCGAATTCAATCTTTCTAGTAATGGAATTAGATTGATCTGTTAGTTGCGAAGAAAAGCGATTTCTCAACAACAACAATAACCGTAACAAGAACAAAGTTTGTTTTTTAACTCCATGTCAAATAAGTTATCTTCGCTTAGTTATTTATGTTTTTTCATATTCTACGCTAATCTTATAATGGAGTTTTCAAACCGTGTCGAAGGCGACTAAGAAAAATTGATTCATTTTCTAAATCCTTCATACCTTCTCCTCTTCTTTTCTGCGAATAATATCCATCGTGTCTAGAACCACAGACTGAGCAATTCCTCTGCACATTTTCTGCAAAAACAATATAAGTTATCGTATGGGTATACAAAAAATAAACCATAAACTTGACTTTTTAATAACCATATACACAATGCTACAGGTTCAAATTGTAAAAATTGAAATTCATTTTAATTAATATCTGAAATGTAATTGATTTTAAACTTCAATAGGAAAATATAACCGGCTTTGTCAGTTTCAAAGTGAACGAGTTAGAACTGTAAAATAGAACCTCGGTACGATTCTTTTCTACTGATGCAGTGTATCCAGACAAAATATTCATCACATTGTCATCGCCAACATTCTGAAAATTTGATATAAATAAGTTTTGTTTAAATCTAATCCAAGTTTATAGAGTAGATTCAGTTTTAGGTCGTCATTTCTCTTTGTCTGTTTTTTTATTATTATTATCAGTACTCCAATCATTTAATTTAACTAAAGCTCGTCGAAACACGCCTATAATTCTACTGCACAATCTCCTCTGACTTTCCTCTGCTCACAGTTTCAAACGATATATATTTAACTTACCTCATCCTTCTCATGTTCCAGTTGAACAATTGCTCCACAGATTGCATTGAAAGCCATTTCACCAGCAATGTCTCTCTGAAAAGAAATTTGTAGTTTTATACTGTATTTCTTTCAGATGGTCAGATAGCAAGTTTGGATTCGGAAAAAAGCTTTTTTCATATATCACTTTATTCATGAATAGCAATATGAAATTTTTTTGCAAGTATTATTGCTTCCAACAATTCATAAATTCTATCCCATATAATTTTGAAAATTGATATATTAAAGTGTAATCCTGTGTAAAAATGATATTTAAATAATAATACTAAACAAGCAGTTTTCAACTATTACACTGGTCAGACGAAACGTTACAGAAATACATTTGTGTTACATTGCAGCAAGACTCTTGAATCAAATGGTATAGTCATTTTTATTCTTGCCACAGCATCCTTGTGTCACACGCATACGGATCCACTTCCACAAAAGCATAGAGCAAGGAAAGGTAGTTAGTCTTGCGTAACTCCAACTGATAGTTAAATAATAATGTTGATACTCACCAATTCCATGGCAAGTCTCATTGATTGCAAAAATTCTTCTCTCTTACGCTTCTCTTCTTCCTGACGAATGAATAAATAAATATATAATGATACTAGTTGTAACAGTATAATATAATATATCAAACTACAAAATGTGTTCAGTGCGCGATTTTGTTTTTATATTTTCCAAATAGAACGAATATGTCACATACGAGCTTGGCCAAAGAACACGTTGGTTCAATTGGTTTCAATGTGTAAACAAAAGCATCAGGTTTACAAAGCATTCTCAACAGACAATAAGAGAAGACTTGCATACACAAAGTTTGTATTATCAAAAATTTTCTGAAATTTGAGTAAGAGTCAAAATTGTTTGTAAATCCGGAGTCGGGAGACATTTTTCAAATGGCTGGAAGTTTGGACTTGAGGCAGGTGTGAATTGTCCCTGACTCCACAGGCCGAAAAAAATATCACCCGAAAGTACGGTAGTGTAAATTCACAACTTATTCCCTGATGTAGACTGTAGATCAAAAACTAAAAAAAAATGTTCATTTACGCCGTCCTATAAACACCCTGTGCCTCACCTTGTAGCAAAGCATATGAGTGTATACTAAAGTCAAGTCAATACTTTTCACTAGTTGTTTATTCAAACCCCAATTTATAGAAAATATGTGAATGAATTCTAGTGTAACTTTGAATATATAGGGCGGCCTAAAAGTTCGTTGGTTCGAAGTTATTAAAATCATTAATCATTAAAAACTGTTAAATACTCAGTGCAGTTGCTTGTACAGAGCCCAGTTAAGAGCGAAAAAACATCCCCATACTCTATAGCCGTTGCATATGCAGAGTAAGAATGTAAATAGTCACTTCCTTGTTTTAAGTACTTTCACATATAGAGCCTAGTGGCGGGCAAGTGCGTGAGTGAACCTCAAACTTTTCTACGCGTTACTTGAATTGCTCCCCAAAAGATCGGCGCCTGAGTTTTTTTTGCGTTTTGTCGACGACTGTAAAGTGTACTCGAATATATGATTAGCATCATCAATACTACGACATTTACGTAGAACCTTATACATCATGAATACGAAAGAAAACAATTTCTGTTCGCTAACCAATGCGAAAATATACATGTAAAATATCTAAATAAATGACATCAACTCACTGTATCCAACTTTTTGCGGTTTCTTCTACTCCGCTTTTTTGTACTACCGGTAGGTAATACGCGTTGTCCTCCGCCATCTCCTTGTGGGAAGACTTCCACTTTATTCCGGCGAAGCTTCATGATATAAACAGCGAAGATCAAGCAAGTGGGAAGGTAGTTTTCCAGAAATGCGCTTTGCACAAATGTATTTCGGCGCGAAACGACTTGCGCCAAGTGTATAAGCTTTGTATTTGTAGTTCCAACTTTATACTCAAATTTAGATGAGAAAAACACTATTTTAATGAGATGAAAAATAACGAGAAAATTTCCAGGACTTGAAATATACACTATTATAGTAAAATATGTATGCGTAGTTCATGGAAGAAAAAATTCCGTTTTAGCCGTAATACATGATATTTTACCATTCTTCTCATTCAACTCTCTAACAGTGATAAACCTATACGAATCACTCTACTGAAGTAGAATAGATGTAAAACTGCAGTCTGACGATTGTCAGTTAATTCGAAAAGCCAGATTCTTGCAGAATCGGTTCTTACTGTAATTTTACTCGCAGAAACATACATCAAGCCTATATTTCACCTTTTAAATTACAGGGGGACGAAGAGATCTACAGAGCGACCGCCGAAAGCCGCTTCCTATGGTCATAGAACATACATAATTTTTCATTTATCCAATGTTAAAATATAGCTATATATAATACTACTGGATTTGTATTGCATTGTAGAATGAAAATTTCAATATATATTTTTACAGTACACATTGAAAAATACGGCCCCTTTCAGCGTAACAAGTCGATAAATCTGATCGTTACAATCTAGTAAGCTACATACATCTTATGGAAAAATATTTTAATCAATAACATATTTGCACTGGCATCACACAATCAAATCAAAGACGCATTTTGGTAGAAAATCAGGAAATATAATTCTAAATAAAATATTTTTCTATACAGATTTTCTTCCACTTACCGAGTCCTTTTTAGCAACATATTTTAACCACCAGGCGTGGATATTCGACAATAAATTAACTCATGTGTTATTCAACTAGTTTTCTATATAAACTAATTTTGCTTTTGTTATAGAGCATTTTGTTATATACATTTTGAATAATAGATGGTAAACATGTATAAAAATATTAATTAAATATTGCAATGGATTTTCAAGTTGTGTAAAATAAAATCTACGGCATTATAATATAATTTATGATATTACAATATTATTGTCACAAAATTTTACGTACGCCATTGTGAGTTTTGGTTTTCATAAGAAATATGAACAGAAATGCATTTTACCGTGTATTGTACCTGCTAAGAGTTTATAAACCGGGGACCACTTCTGTGCACAACCGGAAACCGGCTGGAAAAAATATCATAATTTATTTAATAACATTTTTGAGGCCCATCTTTGCATAAACTATAGGGAGTCTTCTGAAACCATGCTTTACTGATTCACAAAGATTTCTTGTTTTCTGGGATATCTATTCCTCAAGTTCAGATAAGGATCACTGCAAATATTGTTTGCTGTCAAATATTTAATCCCATTCCGCACACTGAAGAACATATTTATATATTACTTTGCGCTCCCGAAGTATGTGTACTAATATAGAGGTAACTAATTTTGTTAGCCTACTTTACATCAAGTTGTGTAAAAGGACGGAAGCATATGGGCAGGATGGTTATTCACTTGGCTAATCCAGACAGTCCCCGAACTCGTAAGAGAACTAAAATAAGGAAAATCGGAATGAAATTAGGGTCTAACTTTAACCTGGTACACATACTACGGGAGTACTATTACTTTTTGTATATAGAGCACCAGAGTATTACGTGCTTAAGAAAGGTGATAGATAACACAGGCTAATTCCAATAATTTGATTCGCCTTGTTTCACAGGTGTGAACATCTTTACACGAGAAAACTAGGAATACTAAAAGTATATTATAGTCGTACGCAACCGAAAAAATAATTTTTCACGGATGTTCGATACATTTTATCTCCGAAATCATTATTGTATTGTTCAATTGTTGGGGTAATCTAAAATTTCTATAAATAGGGTTATTCAATAATTCAAGAGAGTATGAAATCATTTAAAAATGAGCTGGTGCATCGCTGTGCAATAATCGTTTGGTTGAGGTTAAGGTATATAGGAATTAAATTAATTTAATATCCATCCATTTACGAATGCAAAATTATTTTGTTTTTCGGTGAGGAAGATGTGCTTTGCGCGCCTTAAATTTTACTTTGTTTTGTCTCTTTCGAATTCTCCCTTTTTGTTTTTGTTTTTTTGTAACGTCGTTATGGGAGAAACCGAAATAAACACTGATCCATGTCATTGAAAATAAAATGAGACGATTCTATTGCCTACGCCCTACGTCATTGTAGCCTGGAATATTAGTTCATTTTTATTGCTATGAATTGAAGAAATATGCAGCACACTGTTTGTTATTTAGATAATCTTGTTATTGTAGATTAGGGATCACCAGACTACGACCCGCGGGTCAGATCCGGCCCGTGGCGTCTTTTCATCTGGCCCACAATAATACAAAAAAATGGCGAATTTTTGGTACTCCCGTAGTATGTGGACCAATATGGCGGACACCTGAAAGTAGTATGTGTGCCAGTTTAGAGTTACGCCATAATTTTAGGTGCAAATACTACGGGAGTCAGCTGGCTAGTCCTCGAACTCGTAATAGAAATAAAATAAGAAAAATTTGAATAAAATTATGATTTAACCCTAACCTGGTACACATACTACGTTCCGATGTCCGCCATCTTGATTCACGTACTACGGTAGCGCCGAATTTTCTTTCAAGAGATATTTCTCCGAGCATCGACTTCCTTTTTCATTTTGTAACATTGGCCAATCTGCAGGTTGCAAAAAGTCACGTAACAACAGACCCTTTCGCAGCCGCCCAGACACTTTTGTCACTAGGACAGATTTTTAGTCGTGGTTTCAAACATTACCTCGTTTTCGCGATTGTGAATGCTATTGTTTAGTTTTTAGTTGTGTTTCGGGAATTTAAGTATGAATCAAAGAAGTCAATCATCATTTACCTTCTTAGAAGTTGGAGTTTAATTGCAGTAATCAACAATTGTCTAGAAATAGCTGTGATAAAATAGGCTAAAATTCTCTACCGGTACGCAACGTTTTCTGCGAAGGATGCACTCGTACACTCGTGGCGCGTGCTTTCGGCGAAACGGTTGATGTGTACGTTTCTCGTACTAAAATGAACGTCGAACGTCACGTTAACTTTTGTACTGCTTACATGCGGATATTAATGATAGCAATTGTTTTGCTAACAGCTAACCACAGGGTAGTTGTCTATCAATGTTGTATATTTATTTGTTTTGTTATGATGCTCTTGATCTATATTCTGCGATATAGAATTTAAGACTTCAGAAATGTAGAATTTATATTGTTGAATGAATTGAATGGATTTCCCAACTTTTGGGAATTTATTGTTGTATTGCATTAACAAAAATATTTGTCCGTCCCGTTTCAACACAGTTTGAGTCATACCTGACCCGCAGTCGAAATTGTTTGGTCACCCCTGTTGTAGAGGTGGATAATCAATAAGTAGTCGAATGCTACATCTTTATGCTGTCGAATTGATTTATTTTTCAGCATTCTAGATATAAAATAATTTTCAAGATCGATGATTTAAATTTAAAACAAGATTACAAATATTATTCTTTATTTTTTACTGGTGTTCATTTCTATTCGATTCATACAAATGTCTGCTCAACTTGACTGCCGTTTATTTACAGCAAAATATAATGTTTCTTTATGAAAAAAAAATTATCAAAGCGAAAGCCAACTAGTAAAAGTTTCAGATTTGGACTTAATCTGAGTACCCGGTGCGCAAAGTCGAATATAATATTATTTATCGTATCTGCCACCATGATACCACTTTATTTGTAGTAAGACTTTGTGTTATTCTACTATTCGTGCTTTGCAACCTCATGTAGTATCGAACACAATGTTTAAGTCTATGTAAAAAAAACATATGCACATAGAGCTAGAGTAGTATAGAGCTAGAGTAGCCTCCTTCCAGACCTACATACGAATCTGGTATTTCATCCTTTAAATTAAATGACATCACCGTAGCCATTCAAATCACCGGTAAGGCCCGCAGCCGTAATCCGAGATAATCCAATATTGCCATATTCACCTAAACGTGACGATATAAATCAATATCATTCGTTAGTTGATGTGTACTGTGTTTTCGAACCACGATTTTCCGATGTGATGTACTTTTTCCCGGAAAACTCCATCAATCGGATATTCCGACTTACGAGTTCTCGTGGTATTCTCAAAATTTGACCTCTTCGGTCTGTGTGGCAAAAAGAGTGAAGATCATTTTATCTCCAAACCTCTGTTGACTACCCATAAATTTGCTTTCGTGGCAGAACGCGACTTTTCTTTGCTTGTACATATCTCTGTAAACACGAAAATCCGAACTCCTAATTGTGGCGTAACAAAACATATTTAATCTGCGGTTAGCTTAACTACTGTTATGTTTTTATGAACTTTTTTTCGTGTCGTTTATTGTATTTTAGAATACAAAAAATTGAATTATCCAATCCTATATTGAATAAGGATAGGTTATGTAAATAAATATATACGGTGGGATCATTTGTTGATTGTTTGGTCAGTTCGCATCCTGCATTTAGCTGAGGCTCACATCCTTGATGCTAATGAGTGACCACATAACTAATAAGGGAGAATCAAGTATGTGTGAACTGTGTTTTTCGTTGGATGACATGAAAGCTGTAAACTTTTTTTTTGCTAAACCGCAGGCTAGAGAAAAATTATAGATTGAAAACAGTTCTGGGTCTGCATATGCTTGTATATCGCAAATGTGTAGCGACTAGCGACCAATTGTTGTTGTCGTTATTGAAAGTCGAAAATCAGCTAAGCCATATGTGAGAGTGAGGCACTTTGTGGTGTATTTCATATGGAATATCCTTATCGTTATTTAGAGAATGCTTGTTGCCTCACAAATGGTCAGCCGACATTAGAACTGACAATTGACTCCGCAAAAACGGGGCATGCGTTGGAAGAAAAGGGCTAATTGTGAGCTTTGTAACAAGCTTATATTAAGTCAATTATATTTGAAATATAT